AAAATAAAAGTAGGTAGTAAGCGAAGGAGAAGTTGGAAGTATTCTGAAGCTTACAATAGTTCCTCTTGAGGGCTTTTGGTCGTAAAAGGAAAAAGGACATTTTCGCCAAAATATGGAAGATTAACAAAAATAATAGAATGAAAAGGAAAAGTTACACAGACAACAAGTGAGAGAGGAAGAGATAAAGAAGGAGGACAAACGAATGAAAATATTCTGCCAAACTGAAAAGGAGAGTACAAGATTTAGCATTCTGATATCTTAGGTAAACGGCATTCTGAACAAATCGAAAAATGACCTTGATTGTCAAACCTCATTGCTATGAGATTTCCATGGTAAAATCAACGAGAGAAACAGAAAGAACGAGAGAGTAAGAGAAGAAGAAACAGATAGTAGTGGCAGAATAGAGAGAGAGTGAAAGAAGCGTCAAACTTCATCAGTTCAGATGGGGTCCAAATGTGCTTGTATGTGAAGAGAGAGAATAATTATAAGAAAAAGAAATTTTGTTCTCCATTCGATCATTCTGTTTCTTTCCCATTCATTGTGTTCCTCAAAGCCAAAACATAAAGAGTGAAAGCACAAAACAACCAAAGAAGCCATTTGATGATAACGCCATGTAAGGAAAGAACAATCTCAAATTGAGTATAATTTATCATTAGAGCTCATTATAAAACTCTTTTTATTTTCAATTTTGTAAAAGGATATCCCGTAAACAGTGAACTGAAACCCCTCTCTGCCCGTTATGATTTGTAAATTATTAACCCTCCTTCTCTTTCGCGCTTTCTCTTCCTCTCACTCTTTCTCTTTATTTATCTCTCTCTCACTCTCTCATCCTCTATCCCGTAGTCTTCCAATCAAGCATTTCTTTTTCTCTTTTTACCTCTTTCTGGATATGTTTATGCTCTCTCAACTTATGCTTTTCCTTTGTAGCTATCTGAACCTGCAGTCATCTTCTGTCAACAATTCCCTTCTAAAAGTGAACGATGACACCAATTCGTTTCCAACATCAAACTAAAGTACATTTCTCACATTTATGCTTCAAGTTCGAAAAGCAAACTCTTCGAACCCGTTACGCTCAAACGTTCAATGAAGTAGCGCGAAAAAAAAGAAACACTGAGCTTGATGGAAAGTTGCAGATGATTGAGAAGCTTTGCGTGCGACTTTCAGCGGAAATACAAAAAAATGAAAACAATGAGATAAAAGATGGGTTTTTTTAAAGAATCTGCATCCGAAACCAGCCGAGAAATCCACATTTCTGTGGAATTGAGTTGAGATGTAAACTGAAGCAGACAGTGATAGAAATGGGAAAAGAGGATGAAATGGATAGAGAGAGAAGAAGTGAAAGAGAGAGAGAGGGAGCGATAGGTCGGGTAAGTATCCCGAAATTGCAGACAGCAGATTTACATAGATACTTGAGAAAGAGAGAAAATTAAAATAACCAAGAGAGCTGGTTGAGAATTGCTAATTGAGAAGAAGCCATAACGCCGTGCGGGAGCAAGAAAAGAGGCGTGGCAGAGAAGAGCTCAGAACGAACTACTCGTCACCGGTGTTAATTAGCTAAATAAAGGCTCCGTTTCACGAATGTCAGATGAGAATGTAGAGCAGAAGAGCAGGAAGCGTTGAAAAAACGGGAACACATAGCAGAAGAAGGATTATAAAAAAATTAGAAAGTCAATGACAAAAGAAAGGTTTTTAATGAACAAATATGAGAAAGCATAAAATCAAAATGAAATAGTTAAGAGGCGGACGAAACGAATGAAAAAGACGAAACAAGAGGAGATATGAGGAAGAAAAAAATATTTGCAATATAGTTTGTAGTTGAAACACAAAGGTGCGACAGTTAATTGAGTATCAAACTATGGAGGATGAATAGAAAGAAGCGATTTTTTTTCTGTTTTTCTTCTTTTCTCTTTTCTATATCTCTATCTTTCTTTCTCTCTCTCTCTCACTGCCTATATCTCTTTCTTTATATATATTTCCCTTCCAAACAAGGACCACATCTATAGAAAGCAGAAATGCACTCAATTTTCATTTGAAAATTGAATGAAAAATTCGCTCAATGCGTTCACCAGGTGTTCTCTAAATTGCAATTTTCTAACGGCTTGTTTTACAGATGTTAAAAATGAAAAATGATGTTATAAAATGATTTTTGAACAAAAATGAGATTGAATAGGACAAATGGAATATAACTATTATGCTAATTGATTTAAATTAAAATATTATTTTTCGTTCCCACACAACGATTCATCAAGCACAACCGCTCATCACGTTTACGAAGAAATGAGAATGAGATTGAAAAGCAACCGTTCTACGCACTTTAAGTTCTTAAAAATGAAAAATCGCGAATGTAGACGCCATATTTTGAATTTCACGTGGATAGAACCGCGTGAATATTCAATTTACTATTCAATAAGCTGACTTTGAAATTCTTTTTAAAGTGCCTATTCTACGTGGATAAATGTTGGCAGAAGCTTGTAAATGCTTAAGGCAATTTAGATCTAAAACGAATAAGCTATGGAGAGAGCTGAAATAAATTGGTTTTGGTTAAAAAAAGCCGACTTTTTTTTGCATAAAAAAAGAAAGGTTAAAGACGTAAACTATCGAATATGGGGAGGTAATGAGGAGAGCGAAATATGCATATTCGGCCTCTATGAAAAATCTCTTTCTTCTGATTCATATATACTAGATATGAAAAAAGATATACTCAAGAATGAAGCAAAGATGAAGACGAACAGAAAGGACAAAAAATAAAAACAAATCTATATGCGGAGGACGGATTTAGAATAATGGAAAGAGAACAGAGCTTTTTGATATGATACCACGTGAGTGTTAGCTTCGTCTCTTCTGGAATGGGAAAGGATTGATGTTCGTTTGGGACATTTCACTTTTCCCTCCATTTTGTTTTCCTTTGATCTTTTCGTTCTTGTACTCTCTTACTCTCTCTTTCGCTCTCCATTTTTTTCCTTTCTAAGCGCTGATTTTTGCTTTATCGTCACTATGGCTTTATGTGGCCAATAAGTGAAAACTGAACCGATTGGAAAAGAAACAAACTCAAACAACCCACCCTCAATACTCAAAGCAGCGACAGGCTCTGCTATGCTTTTCCTCGATCTCTGGAGCGCAGTTGGACGTCGCTTTGGTTGATTAATGACCAAAATAGAGTAGTCGATGTACAATTCAACATAACTTTGAAGATTTACTCATATTTTGCTTTCAATTCTCTATAACATCTAAGAAACCGACGTTTTGAGTACTTCTTCTATTTCCTTTCTTTTTGTGGAACTCTCAGAGAATAACAGAGAATATCAGTTAGCAAAATCTTGAAAATCATTTTTTTATGCTCTCGAAAAAAAAAAGCTTCTCAAGTTTGCAAAAAATGCTGGATTTCAGTTGAAGCTTGTTTCGATTTACATTTCTATGTAGAAGTTTGGCAAAAATAGTAAAAACTCGAATGAAAAGTTCAGAAAGTCATTCTTCATCGAATATTCGTTAGAAAACGTTGTTTTTTTATCAATTAAATCTGTTTACTTGGCTCATTGAAACTGTCCTATAAACGGATGTTAGTAGCCTGCAAGCCAAAGACAAACGTTGTTTAGTCTGTCCATCAGAAAGACTTACTCATGATGATAAAAAGCTTTGCTGCTCTTGTAAACAAACAAAATTAGTCTAAAAATCAGCAGAAGTATCTGCAGAGCAACACATTTCAACAGTAGCCTTAGAACTTATCTTCTAGGAAAGGTGGACAGCAGGAAAGCTTGGAATCAATGTCACCAGCTCATATAGCATTCTCACTTAGGTCTCAATGAAAAACTAGAAAGAAAACTCCAAAAAGCGAAAGGTTCAAAATATAATCCGAATGACGAAGAAAAAACTCAGAGAAGCTGTAAAAAGCATCTCATCAATTACATTTTGCTAAACGTTTTGCTAGAGAGGAAATGGGCTGAAAGTAAAAATCTCATTTCACTTCCTGACCTGATAAATCGGCTCTCATATTCATTTAGTCGACTAAAAGAGAAAAAATTGGAAAGAAGAGCTACGATCATGAAAGATTGGTACTGGATACATGTGACAGTCTTTCGAAAGGATATTTCACAGAGGGAAAGAGAAAAAACTTTTATTTCTCCACACATTATGCCTATTTACATAACAGGAACAACACATGCAAAATCCTAACAACATCCTAAGAAATCGGAGAAAAAACGGAGAAAAGATTGACAGAGAACTGAGGAATCCAAAGAGAACTCGAGAAAAGCTGAAACTGTCATATTGAAAAAAAAGCTGTCAGAGCATTTTCATATGGTTTGAAAAGCTGCAGTCTTGTGCAACTTTCTGAAAATCAGACAGTTGAAAACACTGTGTGTGTTAAACGGCTTCATCTCATAGTTCCGATAAGTTGAGATATACTCAAATACGCATCACTACTAAATTATAAGAGATCTTATAGGAGCGACTGAGATGTTGTTAAACTCGAGTCAACTACAAGCAGAACGAGCAGATGGAGAGCAAACGCAACCAAATGACCAAAGATGGATGGCAGAAAAAAAATCTGACAACTTTTTTTAGTTTCATAAGAGCTGCAGTTTGAAAGAGGGAATGGGTAGGGGGGGGAGAAAGAAGGGGGAAGGATGACACATAAAAAAGATGCTTGAAAGACTAAAAGAAACACGAGCAGGGTGAGATCCTACGTAAAGAAGTTAGAAATAATGAATAATAAATAAAATAAGGAATATAAATAGGTCTAAGCGTTCAGATAGTAAGATATGTTAAGATGTCAAACACCGAGTAAAATGTCAATTTGACATGGATTGAATGATGAAGCTTACAAACTAGATCACATAAAAACATCATATTACAAAAAAAATAAATTAATTAAAGGAGAAGTTGGGTATCTTTCCAAATTTTCGAACTGTTGTCATTGGCTACGACACCAGGTTTGGGTCAGTCCCCTAATATGACATTCTTTGGAACGGTGTAAGATATACTAATGTGGCAATTTCTAAGCATTAGCTCACTAATAACTCAGGCCGAGCTTTACAAAAGTTACACGTGTAAGCACATTGAGCTTTCATGAAAGCAAATTGTTCTTCGCAAACAGCTGTATTACTCTTGAGCCAGAAACCGCAAGAATAGCGCATATCTCGACAACTGGGATCACGGAAAGATACAGGTTTAGTATTTGTGTAGAAGCGTTGAGAGGTAACACGTGTAGATGACGATGTAGCAGCATCATCGGAAGATGATATGGCTGTTGTTGTTACAGTCGTTGATGTTGTCGTTGTTGTTGTTGGCTGAGTAGTTGTCACTGTTGTAGTGGGTGTTGTATGTATTTCATTGATAGGAGTATCGTCTACAGATGATATTTCAGCTGTCTTAAATTGTATAATTCAATAAGAATTGCGGAAAAAGAAATATACCTTCATAGCAAAACGTTGGAAATGTTTACTTATCCATTTCGTTGTTCCAAGACGTGGTAGTTCTGTTACTGGGGTTGTTATTGTTGTTGTTGGTAGTAAAACAACATCAACGTCTGAAAATTACTAGGCTGAAGATAAGAATATGTTTGAAAATAAATCTCAGTTTCAATTAGATTTCAGAGAGAAAACTTTAATGATATGTTGTTTGTTACAGGTAGTAATAGACATTATAAGTCATTTGAACAAACCTTTACGTTGACGTTCGACTTCTTCATGCGGCTTCTTCTCGAGCTCAGCCTGTGCACGCTGAATGGCCATCATGCGATCTGTTAAAGATATTTGAGTAAAATTCAAAGAAATTCGATAAATTTACAGAATTGTTTTCGTCGTAAATTTGGTGTGATGCGTTCAAGTGGATCATGTCTAATGTTATTCATATCAAGCACAGTATCGAAGACCTCCTTCACGCCCTCAAATGTTTCTACTGCAGTCGGAATCAATTCTTTTTTGTGAAGGATGAAGCCATTGGATACTAAAAATTGAATAAAAATTGAATAATAAGGTTTTGTTGTTTAACTGACATTCCATTTCAGGACGTAATTCAATCAAATAAACATATTTTATTCCCATTTCCGATTTCGCCCAGTCATCTGAACCGCCGGAAGCAGGAGCTTAAAATTTTTTGTATTATCAAGAAGTTGATATTATTGATTTTGTCATTTCCAACCTAGAAGGTCTGCTCCTGTTCCCATTCGATAAGCTGTCCCATAAGCATGTTGAAGACGGTTGATTGCTCGACGAGCGGTTCTTCTCTGAAATATTCAAAGTTTAGCGAAACTGTAATTTAATATTTCATCAACCGCTTTATCACTTTTCATTTTCCAAAATGAAAACGTTGAACAACCAATTAAGTTATACACGTTAGTACTTTGGTTTGAAAATATGAAAGAGTTAAGAAGTTACCAAATCGGTTATATCATCTGGATACGTTTGTTCAGCATGTGAATAAGGATAAATCCAGAACTGAGCATATGAGTGAAGAGTGATGAAAGCATCCACTCTTCCATACATAGAGGGAGAGGAAAGAAAGTCTTCAACTGCTCTTGAATATAACAATAGGAATGATTTGACCGGAATGTACTGTGGATTACCTCGCTTCAGGTTCACTGAAAACATCTTCTCCATGGTAAATGTTCGAACATGGTTCTGTGGAAGAGCCCGACTCTAAGAAAACATGATACGATTTGATTATTCTGCGTTTCCTGCAAATACCTGACCAATGAAATCGGAAATTCCTATTCAAGTCAACACCCTGGCAACACTTTTCTCCTCCCCATGGGCTTTTACGGCACTTCTGGGGTGAGCGATTCTTACGCCATAAACGAATCTAAAAAAAACAAACAAAATATGTAAGAGTGGTTTCAAAGCAACGCTTACACTAGGAATAGGTGAAGAACGGGTGTATTCATAACCATCTGGATTGAGGCATGGAACAATATAAAAGTCCATGTTATCAATATAATGAGTAGCTTGTTCATCTTTCCCGTATCCAGAAACGAGCTGAAACTCATGAATGCACAACTAACACATTGTTTACAAAAGTAATGAGTTTAAGAAAAATTCAGAAACATTCATCCTTTTGTAAGAGATTATCATGAATATCATACTTGATTCATTATGAATAAAGCTGTGTGACTGCTGGCCCATTCTCTTGCATGTATATTTCCATCAATCCAGATGGCTCGTCTATTTGTTTTGCCATTGACTTTATTTCCAATCTGAGATATGTGTTCAAGTTATGTTCACCTATCATTCAATTTACTTTGAGTCCTTCGATTGGCTTCCCTTCATGCGTTGTTCCGATTCGAATTATTTGAGTTATGTTTGGATAATAGAATTCTATTGTTCTCATGAACTTCATCATATCCGCATACGAGGCATAGTCTCCAAAAGGATATTTAGCTCTCTTCAGTTGGCCGACGCGTGATTGATCAAGATCAGCTGGAATAGAACATAAAGAGGTATGAGTATTTGACATACATATACGGTAAGGTGAGGGAGGTGGACATAGAAGCTTCAAAAGATGTTGTAAGGAGAATTATAAATGACTGGTAACATCATACTTAAGCTCTAATCCTTAAGCTTCCATAGCTCCAAAAGTAACACAAAAATGATTTTTCATCTGAGTTTTAAGTTCTTTTCATGTCTTTGAACAAGGAATCAATACTTAATCATTTCAGTTTTTTATGTTCAAACGTCCTGAGGCGTTATATCCATCAACCACTGTCTACGACTGTCTTATGATAAGATGCAGAAGAAACGGAAACACAATAATGATGATGAACCCACCACGCACCGGAAGTTCATTATTTCCGAAAAAAAACCAAAAAAAGGATACTTACAGTTGAAAATAAAAGCTTGTACATTGCATGTAGAGAGTACGAAAAGAATATAAATGGGACGGTAAAACGATGATTTGCTGAGTTTTCCTTTCAACAGAAGTCATTAACGTCTTAAGCTATTAGGACAACTCTTCAAAACCAAAATTTGTATGAAAAGCCAAAACGAATAGATCGTTAAAGTCGTTAAACGCCGCACATAATTATAATACTTTCAGGAGATTTGTGAGTTTCATTTGCATGGGTGGTCGTTAATCTACATGAATGAATGAGAGCTATCATCCCTTCGGTGAAAATTAGAGAAAAACGAGCTCTATTTATCTGACCGTAGCATGTGGATAGGATGGCATGATAGCTATTCCAAAATGCGCACCAACTCAGTGTAAAGTAAAAAATCAAAATTGATGAAAATTTCATTTTTTTACCAGTGTTGAATCGAAATTCCACAAGAAAAAAGTATGTGATGAACTGCTTGTCAACATCAAAAGAAAGCTTCAAACTTACGTTCACTATCTAGAATAGGATCATCATGCTGTCTGTGTCCACTCAGCAAATGAATTCGAGAGCCTTCGTTTCTTTGTATCAGCCTGAAAACTACAACATAACTAAACTATACAAACTATATATAGACTTCTGAACGTCGGGTACAGTTATTTCATAAGAATTGTTGTATTTATTGAAAAAGTCTTCAATGATGGAGCGGTGTTTGTCAGATATCATAATATCGCTGTAATCATCGATACTTCGAGATTCTTTCCAGAAATCGATCTTAAAAGAGTTTAAGAAATATCATATACATAGCCATGATACCAACCTTATATTTGTGATCCATAAGTTGAAGCTTTGATAAAGATTGGAAAGCATGTTCATCGTGTGGAACAACTCGATACAGACGGAACTTTTCTGCTACGGAGGAGCCGACAACGGCGAAACAAATTATCAAACAAGTCCGTATTAACATAACCACATTCACTTAAAATTCAAGTAGTATGTAGAGAGAGAGAGAGAGAGAGAGAGAGAGAGAGAGAGAGAGAGAGAGAGAGAGAGAGAAAATGAGTATGAGAATCCAAACAAGGACAAAATGAAAATAAGTTCGCCGTCTGTTATCGCATTAAACACAATGGAAGCTTTAGCATCTCAGCGACATTCTGCCGCACTAGAAAAAAAAAGGAATGTACGATGTAAAAAAGATGAAGAGGATACAAATGATAAAGAAAAAGCAGCTTCTGACTCATTATCTCATTCAAATGTCACATCAATTTCATTTTACAGTATGGATAGCGTTCGACGAGCAAATTATGTGGAAACCAAGAAACAAAAAAAGTACATCTAGAAGAAAGTGCTTGAGAATATCCACAAATGCTTATTGGATGTATGAGTATCCGTAACATCTTCAGCAATAAGCGAAACATAGGATAAGGTCGCAATGGGAGGAGCTTAGTTTTTGCCTGAGGCATTGTTGCATAACAGGTTCATCCATAGATTAGCTTGCCAAACCCTAATACAATCAGATAAGAGGCATTTTTATGTAACAGCTTGAATAATAAAGAAGAATAAAATTAGGAAAAGCTGAATATCTCGCCTATTATTGACCACATTCTAATTCGGACACAACATGACTATAAATCGGAGAGAAATAGAAGAACAGAAGAAAATATCCGTTGAGACTACAGTTTTCGGATGAAAAAGCATGAAGCTGGTGATGAAACTGCAAGAAGAGAATAAGCCGACAGTTCTTCAAAAGAAATGAGAAAAAACTTTTTTCTTCAAATCTGGATTAAAAGGTGTCGGACGACGAAGAACCGTTCGTTATTGAGTTAAGTAAAGACGATAGGGAAGGCAGAAATGACCAAACTGGATTTTGAAGCTAATTGGAATGCCAAGGTTTTCCAGGGAGAGCCGATGTTCGATCTGATGGATTCAGTAGATAAAAAAAAAAAGAGAGAGAGAGAGAGAGAGAGAGAGAGAGAGAGAGAGAGAGAGAGAGGAGGAAGGATTAGTACTTCTGGAGAACGTTTACCAGTTTAGGACGATACCGAGTAGTTAGAAGAGATTTTTAATTATAAAGGGAAATGTAAAGATCAGGCTGGGTTTCTGATTTTGAAACATCCGTTAGATCATTCGAAGAAACTTTATGAGCAGAACTTCACAAGCCAAATCAAGAATTCTAGCTTCTTCTCTGCTTTCTGCAACTTCAGCACCGATAACAGCTCGTTCATCCGCAAAAAAAAGGAGAGAAACGTTGTAAAACAAACATAAATTCCATATAAGGAATTCCCATAAGACACTGTGCATATGAACGTTGTCTACCCGTATCAAAAACCAAAGAAAAGAAGAGGAGAAAGAGATTTTGTTTGGGCTCAGGCTCGCCCATTTATCGTTCAGAAAATTTGGAAAATGTAAATCAGAACGTTCAGATAGAAAAAAAACTGAAAAATGAGCTTCCCCCAGTTTCTCAAGAACTTGCCAAAATCAAGCTTGAGTTTTATAACAGCTTGACCATATAATTTTGAAAAGATTTATAACTATATGATACTTCTCAAGTTCATTCTGCGTTTGAAACCGCGCAAACGCTTGAGATGACGTAATTCAATCGCTCGAACGTAAGCACTCCAAATGAAGAAAACTTGGAAGAATAGCGAGGAAAAAACTTAAAAATCGTTTAGATTAGTGAAATAATAAAAGTTTTAACAAAAACATTCGGCAAAAGACTTCGCTCAGTTGAGTGAAAGCTTGTTATCTAAGATTTCAAAGCATTTGCTCATCTTCGTACGTAGGATCAAGGATGAGGTGAAAAAGGTTTGTCAAGGGCGAATCTGAAGAAAGATATTTGACGTCAAAAAGAAGTCTATCCGTATGTTCATTAGAAGACGACAACGAGAGAAACCAGTTTGAGATCATTTTCACACAAACGCAAATGCATAATGCTTGTATTATAGGAAACGCAAAGCATGCTTAAATTTGGATACTACCCACATGATAAAGAGAGAGAGATAAAGCATTGTCAGATGCCATTCTTCTCTCCGTGGAACATCGCGTTGGAACTTTTCAAGCTTATACAGGGGCTTCTTCAATTTCAATAATTCATATCGGAAATGATTTCAAATATTAAGGAAGAGATAGAATGATATACCGGCTAGAGTACAAGCGGAAACAATGAAGCAAAGTGCGTATGGAGGGGACTTTGGAAGCGCAGAATGGCGCCTCTTGGCTCCTCTTTTTTCAATGTGAGAAACACACTACAAATCAAAGCCCATGGTTTTATCTGACGACCACGAAACTTAGACATGCCAGAGAAAACTTGTTTTCAAAGTAAATCAAAAGTGGACAAAGTTATCACTGAGTGTAAAAGCGAGCTTTTCTAATCCTAAGCTTAGGCATGCCGTGCAATGTCATGAACAAAGGTAGAAAGCAAGAGAAAAGTTATAATATGGATTTAGAGAGCAGTAAATACATTCATTTTACGAGGCGCAAAAGGTAAGCGCAAAGAGCAAAACTATCTAGTCTGCTCTAGATCATTCGGACTTCTAGAAATGGATGAGGATTAAACGTTACTGTACTTTGGTATCATGAGGAGAATTTCATTGGGTTAAGAGGGAATCTCTAGTGAAAGTGTAGTTCTCGGTTTTCACAAGTGTTCAAATTCAAAGCGATACTGACCTTGGCTTCACTTTCTGTGAAGCCCTCTAGAGAGGATTTGCACATGTCATCCGACAGTTGAAATTAGCGAGGACAAATGTCAAGTAGAAAACTGGGAAAGAGTAGAATGATTGACAGTAGATTTGAGATTACAAAAACACAGAAGAAGGATAATATGTAGTTTAAAGAGGTGAGAAAATGAAATAGAGAGTTTTATTTATTCTGTATAGAAGTTCCAGTAGTGTATTATGTGAAACTAAAGAACAAGAAGAGACAAGTGGACACTCGGTTGCACACTGTCTACTTTAAGGAGGAACAGAAAGTTTGTAAGATCAAAGGAGGAGCCAGGAAGAGAAAAAAATAGAGACAAGGATAGTTGAATACGATACTATACATATGCGGGGAAGGAGGAACATAGGAGAGAGAGAGAGAGAGAGAGAGAAGAAAAGAAGGGAAGAGAGATGGGAGGAAAATCATTGACAAACTAAAAAGTTCTGGTTCTTCTTCAGCTTGACATCTACTACTTCAAACAACAGATCAACACATTTGTCATTTGTAAATTACGTTGTCCAGTTGATTCTATACTGCTAAAGCTTAGCTATAGCCATGAAGATCACCCAGAGTTATTATATGTTATCAGCAAATGATAATAGTTGAGAAGAGAGCTGATTACTGCGAGCCAACAAAGTATGATTGAAGAAATGATTGTTCATCCACAGTTGAAGCCTACTCATAGGGTGCTGTCATGTATAAGCACCAAATACAAGAGGGAAAATAAATTAAAACATTTGTGAGATAGGAACGAAAGAAAAAGTCAAACCTTGTTGGGAAGTGTGTATTTAACCGGTTTAATCACAAACACACAAAATGTAAAAGATTTGTTAAAACAAGGATAGTTGTAAGAGGGAGAAGAGAAACAAAGTAATTCCTTTTTCAAGCTGTAACTAACTATTCTCAAACGTTCATAGAATATCAATGACGCCAATGACCAAATATGGCTAAACGGGTATCAAATAGCCGAGATTCCAAGCGATAATCGACTTGATTCTCTTCACACTCACTCTTCTATCTCATTCATTATATGTTTTTATCTATCAGGTTAAGCAAGATGAAATATGAACAATTCTATCAAATAGTTTCTCAAAATCAAACTATTTTCTGCAAAACTAGCGCACAATAGAAGGAAAGATGACCAACAGTTGAGATGCCATGTGCATACGTGAATCTCATGTCAACAGACTGTATATCATTCAGAAGAGTGGAACTGGTTGAGTTAACAGCAAGCATTCAAGCTCACTTTTCTCATTCTTCCTTTCTCATCAAAACCCTTTTTGTCGTCATTCGTTTGAGAAATAGCAAAGATGATATTTGACATCTTCTCTTAAAGAAACAAATGATATTGAAAATGAATAGAAAAATGACCATTTTCGTCGATCAGTACAACTTTCGCTTGTTATCGAAATGACTGATTATACGGATGAAAAACATATTTAAAACATAAAATAAAACAAGAAGATAAATATGAAAAATAAAAAAGTGAGAGAGAAGAAGGTAAAAGATGGAGAGAGGATGAAAGACGGGGGGATAAGGGAAGGAACAAGTTAAGAAAGATTGCAAATTTCACGCAGGGTGGTGGATATGATTGAGATCAATGAAAGAATGAAGAATAAAAAAGCAAAAATGATTCAAGTTCATTAAACAATAGCGTTCTACAAGTGACTCCAAACCATTTGAAATAGCAAAGTATCAATAGAAGCTTTGATCTTCCTTCTCGACTTTCTCACACCCTCCTGTTCCATTACCTATCTGGATTGGTCAGGTTCCAATCAGCCGAAAATTCGAAAACAAGAAATTATTGAAAGAACAAGCTATTCAAAGATATTTCAAATCTTCAATAATTCCTTCAACTTATTTTTTGAGTACTTATCAATTCATGAAGCTCAAGTGATCAAACATACAAAAAGATAGAAACAGGTCACAAATAGAACATACAGAAAGGATATAAACGAGCTGTTTTTTCATTTTTTCAAAATATTTTCCGGAGTCTTCCTTGTCTGTAGTTCGAATACACCTGTTAGCTAACGGTGGTTACCGTAACCAAAAAATTAAATCTGTTTGGATGCATCTCAAATACTTTCATTGGCTACTGTTTCTTACTACCAATCTACCATTCGGATTGTTGAACATTTCCAAAAATGGCAGAAGAGAGACAAAAACTGGATAAATTTGTAATAAGCAAACACGAAAAAATGGATCAAAAAATCATATTTATATGAAGAAATTTAATAAATAAAATAAACGAGAAATGTCCAAATATGGAGTAGATTCAATCCCTCCCCGCTTCTCTCTCTCTCTCTCACTTTCTATTTTAATATTTCCAACAAAAAAAACACGGAAAAAAAAGATGAAAAAGGCTCTTAATCTTTGATGATCAACAAAAGAGACGGAAGCTATTCTTACTAACACTCAAGTCCAAATGAATCTAAGTACACGTATTCAAATTTAAATGAAAGAATGCAATGAGATAGTCACCAAGAAGCTGATAGAAGCAGCATCAGCGTGACCAGGAGATAACCGACAAGATTCTGAAATCTCCCATGTATTTCCATCATCTTCTATCACGTCTCATCCTTTCTGAGAAAACAGAAATTTGAAAAGCGAAAGTCTGTTCTTTTCTTTCTTTTATCCTTTCTCCTATCAGGTAGTTATCCTTTTTTTCCAACTTTTTTTCTCTCGAATATATCATCATCAGCCAACTTCATCACATCAACGTCGTCGAACTTCAAACTCCTTCAAGCAGATTCACCCTTCTGACGTTCTGTAACAGAAACAGCACACACTAATAGATTGAATTGATTGCCTCGAGGGCTTTTATCTTTATCAACGAATTTCAACCATTAAAATGTCTTCTCTACATCTTCTTCTGGTTCGATTGATATTCTCATCATTACTGACGTTCCTCGCCACCCAAACGGAATAGAAACGGAATAGAGACGGATTTTCCTGTTCTGCAATCGGATGCCCACAATCGTTCGATGCGTTTATCGAATCTCAAAAACAGGGTCAAACAGCGCTTGTCTTCTTCTTTCCACTTCATAATCAGCAGGCGCCCAGAAGCAGACGAAGACTGTCTTAGTTCCTCCCCGCTTTAATTAGATATAGATTCAAAGGTTAGATTTGAAAGTTAGGTTTGAAAACAGAAGAACAAATAAACAAATAAATAATGACATCGAAGAAACAGCGGTATCAGATTATATTGAGAGAACCTTAAGAAAATATTTAATTATTTAATAAAATATATGTTGTAACAATTCTTTTCAAAATATATTACACGTAGGTGAGTTCAAAACCTCCCCATGATTACAGTAAATTATTTACAAGAGCGTCATAGCGATATTAAGACGTTCAGGACTCTTCCGAATCGTGCTTCCGATGATGATGATGACGATGACGATGATGTTCGGACGGTCGTTCTTTCAAAGATTTCTCAGCTTCATTCTTAATTATAAAAGGCGTCAGTAGTAACAAGTGTGAAGATGGTTTACCCAAAGCTGTTTCTGTTGCTGCTCAGCATAGTATCTTTGATACGGAGATGGGTTAGCTGCTCTAATGCAATAGAACAAATCGTGCAAACATGTTGGAAGAGATGTTTGTTGCAGGCCAATGTTTATCATATTATCAGCTCTGAAGGAAACACGATTTTTATTACCCAAACATTTGAACGTTGTTTAAAGATATCTATCACTATGCTAATTATGATGACGTCATGAACGCGTGATTCCCGTGAATTCGCCCGAAGCGCGTTATTTCCTTTGTTTGGCAGACAAAGATCGGTTGTGTTAGAATAGAAAAAAAGATCAAACCTGTTGAAGGGATAGTTTCCCCCTTTTGCAAATTTATAATCATTTTCTAATTGAGCAATAGACTCTGGGCGTCCATCAAACCAACCCAAGTATGAAGGTGGGTAATAGTTGGGATAGTACCTTGAATGTTCAAAAACTATGTATCAAACTTAAGGCAAGCAAACCAATTTCCAAAATGTCCGTAGTCTCTAGCTGTCTGCTCATTATAATAAATGTATTTACCCAGCACTCTTGGATTATTTCCATAAGTTTGCTGAGAAAATTCATTGAAGCAGTGAAAATCTTAATGAAATACCTGATAATAACTTCGAGCTACATCACTGTTAGAAACAGACGTTGGCACAGAGTCGACAGCCCCAAAATTACAATCGGCTACAAACTGAAGAATTAAAGCTATTGTTTTTTCGAGAACTTCTTTTTTGGAATCATAAAAATAAATTCTTTGAATTGACAAGACGCAAGACTGAACTATACCTTGTCACTGGGATAAATGACTTTCACAATGTTGGTATTTATATATAGCACTTGAAGAACAAAACGATCTAGGGGGCACGCGGAGTTGAACCACGGACCTCTCGATCTGCAGTCGAATGCTCTACCACTGAGCTATACCCCCATTAAAACGGTAGCAAAAGCTTCTAGTTTTGCTACCGCCGATACAAATATGATCATTCATCATTGTATCTCTTTATATAGCTGGGTGTCCGCGTTTGTCAACATTCGTTCATTGCCCGAAATTGACAAGAGCTGACAAACAGAGTGGGAAAAGAAAAGAAGAAAAAAAATTTAAAATATAAGAGATCTTAAATAGGCCATTCAATTGAGATATTTCACCTGAACAATGTCCTCACAAGTCATATCGTTCGGTCTTGGCTGGATTTTATCACAGTTGCGTTTGGACCAAGACAGTAAAGTTTCAGGTAGAGGGTTCCATCTCAAACAATCAAAGTTAAAAACACCTCGAGAACATTATTGAACTTTTCAGCAAATTTGGCAAAAGCTGAACACATTTTACCGGAAGGAGCCGCCAAAGCAAACGGCATCAGGAGCATTATTAGTAATGATACCAAATTAATCATTATTCAAGCACTTCAGCTAAAAAAGTTGTAAATGGCTTCCTAGTGAGAGGATCGAGTGCAAGAGAACTGAGTACATACGGACGCGAAAAAAGATGAATGAAAAGATAAGCTTAATATGGAAAGAAAAGCCTACGGGCATTATGCGTGTGACAACCAACATAACTGAAAAAGGCTTCATCTTCTGAGAATGACCTTCAACCAGAGACAGTTTTTAACAGCCGAAAGAGGAGAACGGGAAGACTGGAAATATATGAAGACGTAAACACAGTTCTCAACATTACACATACAAAATACAAAGTTAGGACGTCGCAAGAAGATATTCTTCCCCCTTCTTCATAATTGTTTCAATCAATATCGCAAGATGATACCAAACTGAAAAAAAATTTACTTACGCCGACTTCTCTAGAAACGTTTCAAAGTGGCCACCAGCAAACTATAAGATATGATGTACTGTACCACACTTTTCGCTATAACAACTATTCAGGATGAAAAGAGCATCTTTATGAGTTTTCCACTTAATCCTTTCACGTATATCCAAAGCTTGGTTATCCAAACAATAATGAGCACTAAGGAACAAAAGAGCAAAAGCTCGTTGTTTATTTTGATATTTTCTTATCTTTTTTATCAGTTCTGATAGCAACAACAATGAACGAATGGTATGAGTAGTATAGGAATGAGGGATTATAATACCATTTTCGACATTTCAGTCATTTCAACACGTTTTCATTCTCTGAAGTCACTATAACAATCCATCAGCCTTTTTTAACACAATATAGTCTGATATTTTATTAAGTCCGTGGATATGAGCGGCGTGATGCTGTCCATCCGAACCGTACAGAACCACCGATAAGCCGATTTCTCGGTACAATTCGGGAATACAGGGGAGATTGGTGACGGCATAATTTTTTGTCAGCAGTACTGCCGAAATCCAACGATTGTCAGACTCGATATACATGCATCATGATGTCACTCTTTGCATCAACGCTTGGTTCGCTTTTTAATATTTTTTTCTATTTTTGAAATAACAGAACCAATGAGTTCCTTTACCTTCAGAAGAATCTAAATTTATAATACCAACTTCTCTTTTTTTTAATCCTTTGTGGTGGTGAGGTGTCTCGCATGAATATGACTCGGAAATTCTTTAACTTGAGTACTTTTACAAGTTCTTCGATATCTAGATTGTTTAGTCGTTTCAGGTCTTTTGAGAATTTCATTTATTGGTAGTAAAATTATCTTCCAACCCATTAGATTAGATAAAGAAAAGTATAAAAACCTCAGAACCTGATGAAATTCTACCGTTTTCCCAATCATTCAGATAATCAACTTTTGCTCTACACAACAATATGTCCAAGTATGTCGAAAAACGATGCAGATTAACCTAAGTTTTCAAGTTTTGAATGGCCTCCAGCTAAAAATGAAGCTCATGAACATTTTGGAGAAGACTTCTCAAAGCTAGCTCCGTCAACGAGGATCTCTGTTAGTCACGCACCGATCCCTAGAAACGCTGATCCTCTCATTATGCCAATTTACCATTCGTCCACATACCGTTTCAGAACGATGGCTCAATTTCACGAGCCAAATCATGTAACTTATCAGGATAATAATGACAGTAAAACTAAATGGATTTCAGGGGAATAACTATGTTTATCAGCGATGTGGAAACCCAACTGTTGAGAATGTTGAAGTAAGGACTTTTATATGATCAACGAAGTATTGCATTGAACAAACCTAAAACAACTTTAATGGTTTTCAGGTGATCATCAATGAAATTGAAGGAGGTGCAGCTACGCTTCTTTACAATTCGGGATTAGCTGCAGCTTCTGCTGTTTTTCTCGAATTTTTGAGCGCTGGAGATCACTTGGTAGCCTTAAACTTTTAAAAAAAGTAGTAACGAAAGGATTCAGATTGCAATGAAGCCATGCTACAGTGGGACATATTCATTCCTAACTGAAACCCTTTCTCGGTGAGGATTTGAGAAATTCGTGTCACAAAAAGAAATTTATGAGAAACACATTTTCCCAAAGTGAATTTCATTTGCAGCTTTGGTGTTAAAATTAGTTTTGCTGATTCTGAATCTGATGGATCATTTGCAGATATTCTAGAGAAATGTAGAACTGATAAAACCAAAGTTAGTTTTGAATTTAAGCGATATCATTTGGTATGCTTTCAGATGGTGTTCATTGAAGGAGTGGCGAATCCATCTATGGCTGTTCCAGATATTCTCGGAACGTTTGAGTTTGCTAAGAAGCATAAAGTAGTTATATATTTCCTAACAGATTCACAGTTTCGTTTAAAGATAATGAGTTTTGTTGATGCCACATTTGCATCACCGATTAACTTCAAGCCAATAAAGCTTGGTGCTGATATCAGTCTTCACAGTTGGTAAGCGTGTTAGATGGTTCATAAAAATGAAACGGTTTCAAGCTCCAAGTATATCGGCGGACACTCTGATGTTATTGCTGGATGTGTAACAACGAAAGCCATTGAGCACTGGCAAAGATTGAAACTTCAACAAATGACGATGGGGAACGCTCTGGTTAGTTTCTCAATGAGAACACATTTGTTTGACGTACGGTGACGTCGTTGGTTGTAGTCAGAAAATTCCTATCCCTATTTCATCTTGTTTGTGTGAATAGCTATGTATGTGGGGGTATAGCTCAGTGGTAGAGCATTCGACTGCAGATCGAGAGGTCCGTGGTTCAACTCCGCGTGCCCCCTAGATTTTTAAGAAAAAACATCTGAAAAATAACATTTATTTGTTCTAAAGCTATTTTTGGATTCCAATTAAAAACTGCAAAAAGACATTCCCATGCCGGGAATCGAACCCGGGCCGCGTGGGTGAAAACCACGAATCCTAACCACTAGACCACATGGGACACACCGAGAACATTTCCCAGCTCACTCAAAGAGAGGACACTGAATACGAACATCAATTTCATTCATTTCAGTCTCCGTACGATGCTTCATTGTTGGCTCGTGGATTAAAGACTCTAGATTTACGTGTACAAAAGATAAATGGTAATGCTCAACAACTAGCTGAGTTCCTGGAAGCTCATTCGAAGGTAATTTAACTTATACATATATATAACTAATTGCTGTTCACCGTTCTCTGACGAGGGTTTGCTTCAAATAATCAAGTCAAAAAACCGTGAAACGAGGGATGAAAGATTCTTATCACTTTTTCCTGCCCATCAATATTGTTTCCTAATGCTAGAAGAGTCACCTTGGCATGATCATTTCGAAATTTATCTCAGTATCCTATCTAATACAAACATTAGAATTACCAAATATTTAAAAAATCGATTTAACCATTTTAGATATGGAAGTAGAGAACATCAATTACCCACAACTAAAGATACAGCAGAATTCTATTGTAAATGTTGATTTTCAGGTCATTAAAGTGTTCTACCCTGGTCTCAAATCTCATCCAAGACATGCAAAGGCGAAAGAAGCTTTGACCGGCTTCGGTGGAATGATAGCATTTGATTTGGGAAGTGCTCAGAAAGCTATTCAACTAGTCGAAGTTTGAAAACATTTCAATAGAGATACTTATATTTGAACTTCAGACGCTCAGAATTATCTCGCATGCTGTCTCATTAGGGGGTACTGAATCACTTATTGAGCATCCAGGTTTCAGACAAAACACCATAATTTCAAAATTAACTAGAGAATTTTTCCAGCTTCTATGTCTCATGGAGAAGAGCTTTTGCGTGACCCAGAAGCACCCAAAGTGTCACCTGGACTCCTTCGTTTCAGGTTCGTTATATTGTTAAAATCGGGCAGCAGTCAATTAACAAGATTATTAACTAATCAAAAAAAGGATAAAAAAGTATTTATAAAAACCAGATGTCCCCGAAACAAAATTTTTGAAATACTAGAATGTTTGAAGGACGAACTTCTATATCAAAGTTCTGATATGGTGAAAATTCATCTGATTTATCGTTTGCTTCCAACACTTCTTCAAAAACTTATTTGCTCATTAGTCTTCAAGAATGTTAAAAGCAATCAGAGTTAATAGTAGAGCAGAACGTATCACAAAGATGTTACTCATTACATAGTTGTATTAGTAGAGAAGCTATATGCTCATCAAGTGTATGACTATGAACAATCATGGTTTACAAACTCTCTCGAGTCCCTACCCACGATGCTCATATTCTAAACGGTCTGGAAGTTTTTTTTCGTAATCTAGTTATACTTTCGGGAGGTTTTCTCCCCGATTTACCGCATATGAACCTTCAAATCAGGTCAACGAAATGGACGATTTAGCTAATTCTGAAGGGAGCGGTCCCGATAGCATTTCTATTTTGGTCATGATGATCAAGAAAAACTCAAATACAATATAAAATGGAGAGAGAAGAAGAATTTCGTCGTTCTTCTTTCTTATTATCTCTTTTTCTTCTCCGAGACTATCTATCATACTATCCTTTTATGGTCATCAAATTAAAATGCTATACACTAGCGGAATGTGGAATGCAAATATTCATAATTTTTTTATATTTTGAAAGTTAATAAGTTTTGGGTGTCGAAACATAGCAAATTCAACCATTCTTATGGCAACCCAGGAAATCGTCCATTTTTGCTCTTCACCCCACATACTACTAAGGTCGAAATCAAAGACATCCTTACTCCTTAAGGGCAAACCGGGTACACAATTGAATTTGAGATAAGACGTTGAAGAGTAGTCTTCCTGTTATCATTTTGATTATGCCATCATCGTTGAGTAACCTGACACTTGTGCTGATACTTTAACTTTTTCCTTGCATTACACATTTCCTTCAATGACTATACTACCTTAAAAAATCTCATCGCCAAGCAAACAATACATACGTTTCTTGTATATGATGTGGAAAGATAACTCAGAGTAAATTATATATAGCCATGTCATCGCTAACTATATGTATTATCTTTATGAAAATGCCGACGATGACGATGAAATCGTTCAAAATTCATCCGTTCAACGTCTTGACAGGACATTTAACGATCCAAAGGTCAGGGTTGAGCGTTTTCATTTGAGATCGATGAAGATATAAATGAAAAGATTCCTAATTTGTGATTACGGTAGATTGTATTCTATTGTCAGAATGGGTGTAAGTTTGTCATGCCTTATATCTTAGCTATTTTTACATTCAAGAAGTGAAGCTTCGATGAAATCCGACTCCATTTAAACACAGAAAATATGAAAAACTCCTTCTTTTCTGAACATTCTATTTATCTCATAACATTTGAACTTTTTTTTGTCCTCTAAATAAGAAAGAAGAGGCAAAGAAGACATTTTGAAAGAAAACCCGCTCAAGCTGATTGTCTTAGCGCGAATATTATGCTCGTTAAAGCAAATACACATCTCTTCGCCGTCATCAGTACCGTCATGTCTATCGTCAAGATGGAAAAGAAAGAAAAAATAAAGATGGAGAAGTAGCTTCAAAACTTTGCACATTCTGAATGGGAGACGTAGAAGAAAAATGTGAATGAGAAAACACGAATTTTCCAGCTTCATCTTATCTCAAATAATGCGAATTGATTGTATAGTCTCATTGATTCCGTTCAGTTGTTCTGAACGTGAAGCATATTAAAAAACCTACAGAATATCCAAAATTTCAGTGTTGGCGTAGAACAAGCAGAAGACCTCATTGCTGATTTGGAGAGAGCATTAGAGAAACTTTAATAACCATCACTCAAGTAGAAAAACTTACTTATTGTCAGATAGCTGTGAATATGAATACTAGAATAAATATTCAAAGCGCACCAGATAGTATAGAATAGATAATATATGCCATTGGAGCATCGCGCTTAGCTTTGGTAACCTAGCTTTATGAGGACATCTATCATACAGCCAAATCACCAAAGGTAAGCACATTCATTCACAGATGAAAGAGGTCCAATCACTCAGTAGAAGAAAAATAACGAACTGAGGGCTACAGACTCACAGCAGCAAGAAGCATGATTAGCTGCTGCTAGAGACTACTGGATGAGTTGCCGGGCTTGTCGTCGCTAGTCTGAGAGCACTGGGCAAACAGTATGAAGCCAACCAACCTCATGATGTAGCTGCTGATGAGATGACGACGCCTAGTGTTGGCTGCGAGTTCAATGACGATGGTGATAGTATTGATACGTAGGAATGAATAGCATGAAGTTGGAATGACATAAGAATCATAGGTTGTATGTAGAAATTATATCTTGGAATAAAAGAACTGTCAATAGAATAATGAAGATAAGCGAGTAGATTAGTCGGAAATTCGATGAAGGTACGAAACTACGATTTTTAGCGCCAACAAAGCAGACTGGTCAACTGAAGGGACAGGATCATGAATCGAATGGGTATGGAAAGTGTAGGTTGCATCAAATTGATAGGACAGTTCGAAAAGGAAGGGAGAAAAGAGAAGGGGAGAGAAAAGGGGGCGTGGAGAAATAATAGATTGAAATAAAGATTGATAGATTTAAAGAGAAAGAGTCGAATCAAAAATAGACTGGGGGCAAAGGAGATAGTCTAAACTACAAGAGCGACAAGACCAGTCAGATTCGGTCTAAAAATTCCACACAAGCACTAGCTTACATAGGTCGAAGAACGAACTGAATGAAATTCAGTTTTCTTTCTTTCTTCACTTCTCTATTTTGCTATCTCATGACCCTCTCTCTCTCTCTCTATCTCTCTCTCTCCCTCTCTCTCTTTCTTTCTCTTTCTCTCTTTCTCTCTCCCTCCCTCTCCCTCGCCCTCTCCTTATTTCTCTCCCTCTACCTCTCCCTCTACCTCTACCTCTACCTCTACCTCTACCTCTCCTTTTATCTCTCTCTATGCACCAGTCTCTTTCTCCCTCTTTTTGGGTCTGTCTCTCTTCTTTTCAATAATATTTAGTCAGTGAATGAGTTCTTTTCTTATCATTTTCCTCTAACATTCTGATTGTTCTAGGATAGAGGAATAATCAGCAGCTAAATATGATAAATGAGAAAAACAAACTAACAACCATTATGTGGTGTCCTAAATTGTTCACTTTGTTACATTTTAATTCGAAATATATCTCCGAACTTTTTAGGAAATGATCGAAAACAGAAGAGCAGCTAGGAGTGCAACAGAAGTTCGTATCGTGAGACAGTATGTGACACATGGGAACCAATAGAAGTGTAAAAAAAACCATAGAACTCCGAGAGATATTCTTGTAGAATTTCAAGATCCTCATGAAAAATTAGAAACGAAGAGAGAGGTGGAAGAGATATGAAAAGATTGAGATTTCGAACCAATAAATGTAATCTAAAACGAAGCAAGCAAGCAAGCCTACCAACCAATCAGTCGCCTCTTCAGACTACTACTGATATGGAAATGAAAAACCCGCAGCGCCGGGCCGGCCCCTTTCCAACGACCAAATGGGCGGTCCAATAATGTTAGGAATACTGTCTAACTGTCTAGCAAAACCTCTATAAAAACATATACTATTTCGTTTGTACAGTTTGATCGACAGGTGATCTCCACTTTCGAAGTTATGTCTTTGGAAAGAAACAATGAATTGACTGACTTGAAATTCTATTTTCATTAAAATGACGAAAAAAAGGAAAGTGAGGGTATGGGATGAAAGAAAGATTTGTGAAAGCCCAAACAGAAATCTCAACAATAAGGTTTGTTCTCGATGAAACATCTTTTCATTTCTCATCAATTCCGAAGAGAATGATAAACCGTCTGATTTCTTCAGACCGATTGGCTTATTTTTTCATATGTTAGTTTCCTCAACTGAAAAAGCCGCAACGAATTCAAGCCGATTTAGCGGTGAATCAATCATTTTATACGAAATACTTTTTCGTGATAGAAACTATGGGAGATAAGGAGGATATAGATGGAGGAAGAAATTACAAAACAAAGTGAAATCTAAATTTTGCCAATTCAAGAAATTGATGGCACTTGACCTGCGAACTCAATGAGCGGAAACTTCCGTGTGAATGAAAACAAAGTAAGAAAAATGGAACATAGCAGCAACCTCCCATCGGCTCTGATAAGTTCACTTTCGCTTGCTTATGAAGTTTTCTTGAATAGGGAGAACGAACAGTCATGCTTGAAACGGAACTGTCCACTGAAAAATGAGTAGCAGATGATTGAACAGTTCAATCGCCATCATCCGTGCTTCTAAAGCTGTTCTCTAACGTCGTTTCTTCTTCTGTTGCTTTCTACCATCTCTCTGTCCTCTCCACTTCTTTCTCTACCATTTATATTTCTGTTTCTCTGCCCCTTTATAATATTATCGCTGTTTAGAACTTCACACTCGTTTTTATCTCGACCGGTTTTTACATTTGGGCACTTTCGTTGTCATCAAACTCTTCGTCCGCATATAGTCTCTTCTTCAATCTAGCTTTTTCAAATATATTTTGCACAACCTTCAGATGTCTTATGTCCAAAAATGATTTCGAAAGGAAAAAATGGAATGAACAATGTAGCCTCTTATTCAAACAAGTAGCGAGAAGCTGAACAACATGTGTCATCAGAAAGAGTATTAACTAATCTCTTAAGTAGTTAAAAGATAAGAATGAATCACATTTCGTCAAGTAATACTGGAAGTTCACAACATTCCCGCTCTCTGTTTCCTAGATTCTGATTCTCTCTCTATGTCCAAGAAGAAAAAATTCCAAAACAATTCTTCTACTACACATAATGACGGCTGTGTCACAAAATTGAGTGGTAAAAAGAAAAAGCAGTTTGGTGTACTTCTTCCTATTTTTCTCAAAAATGTCACAGTGAATCAGCTTAGAGAACGGTCATAACTATTCAAGCGCCACACCCTTCCTTCAGATGAATCGAACGAGACGAATACTTCAACGTCCTTCTAATCACCAAGCCAACATTAATCAATTCAGATCTCATTCTTCTCTCCGACTTTCTTCCTGTTTTCTATCTTCTCTATTTCAACCTTATTGACAATTTCTATTTCCAACATTCATTCTTTCTAGCATTTTCTCGCACAGTAAATGATAAGATAATGTTTTCGAAACTACATTGTCCAACACAAAAATATTCGAAGAATACAGATAAACAGTATATATTGAAAGAGGAACAGAGAAAAAGACATCAATTAAGCAAAAGGAAGCAGACTGCATGAACAACTAATTAGAGATTACGTTCTCAATACAACTACTTCTAATCTTTTTTCAATAATCCTCTGACAACTTATCAGTTTCAATGTTTTAAAACATCGCGTCTCCTTTAAAAAATATTCTACGAGAAAAGAGTTCGTTTCTATCAAATCATAGGTACAATCGTTTAATAGTATAGATCTGAATAAGGCTGTGTGACAGAAGGAAGAGCGGCTGATGTAGGATTACCATCGAAGAATTAAGTGAAAAGACTGAGAAGATGTTCTCTCACACTCAAAAAATATCGTTTTTAATTTGAAAATGTACATTCATTCAACTAAACTATGCAAGAAGCACTCACAACTTCGTATGTACAAAAGACTGTCCCGCCAATCCGTCAGTATGTCCTGCTGTGTTGACATGATCATCATCCCTTGTGCACTTTAGAAGAAAACACATTGCTTCCTAACATAACAAAGGCAGTTTTTCGATGACAAGAAAAGAAAGAAGATTTGAACGAAACAAACTAAGTTTGTTCTTTTCTATTTCTTTAATCTTGGTATTGTTCTACTGATATATGGATAATCAGTTCCCATCGATAGGTTTTCATGAATACGAAAACTTGTCTTCGTCTCTTATTCTATCATTGATCTTAATCATCGAATGCCATCAAATCCTTGAGCAACTTGGTAGTCATGTTGTAAATCGTGCAGCAATCAACCATCATCAGTTACGTCAATCCTTCAGATGTCAATGGGTCATCAAACCCAAATCAACCCTAAAAGGTATAATACGGTCTTATAAGGAGGCCGAAGGTTATACAAAGAGTATTATCCTTTTTTGAATTATATTAAATTTCATTAACTAATTCGTCATCCGTACTATTCTTCAATTAGTGCCCTTCAAAGCAACCGTATAGTGCACAAAGAGAGATACTGAATTGATATTCTTCTAGAAGTGGATAAACATAATAAAGTAATTGAGACAAGTAAACCAATCACTTGCTTTGAATTCTCTTTATCCTAACTCTCTTCCACTCAAGAAATCGAGTGAAACTCTGTAAAACCTGATCTGAATCTGCCCATAAAATGGAATGCAGTAATCAATTGGTGACGCAAATAGGAAAAATTCTATAATATTAGTGAGAAAGAATAAAAGGCCAAAATGTGAGAGTTTTCTTTATCTCTATATACGAGAAGTAATTTGAAATGATAAACTGCATGTGACAAAAAAAGGAAAGGTACAGAAAGAACCAAAATGAATGAGAGGTCAGTTAACGAAGACAAGTCCAGCATGAGACGGCAGTGATTAGAATGCAAAGTCATTCTCATTGAATTGGACAAAACGATTTTTTATTCATTACCCTCTTCATTATGTGAAAACGTCTGGGAAACTTTCTCGCAACCACTTTTTTGGGACTTGTCCTCACTGGAGGAGCACAGTAAGGACTGATTGTAAGCCTTTGTTACTAAAGTTCTCATCTCAACTTCTTTAATTCATACTTTTTTATGTCGGGAAAGAACAGACAAAGGGAGATGAAATAGAGTTCTGTAAGAGTAGATTTTCACAGGCGTCCTTGTTGCTATTTACTATCTGAGTTCTGAATCGGTAAAATGGCAACATAGCTCATCACTTCTAACGAAGAGGCCACTAACAACAAGATGTAGAGATTTTCTTGCTACTCTCAATCACACAAAAGGGCAAGCTGGTTATCGTGTGAATGAATCTCCCGCCTGCCAGTTGAGTCAGCAACGAGTATTTCCATGTTTCGAATAATGAATTTTTCGATATTTCACACAAATTCATCAAATTTCCTATGCAAGAAAAAACTGGCCAACTATAAAAAAAGATTGCAAGCAGAGCAAAGCAGATAAAACTATTACAGAGAGATATTATCGAAACGTCGATCTTGGACATGTGAACATCAGGTCTATCCATCTTTTGCAATGAAGCATTGAACACTGCGCGAGCCTTTTGGACCAAGATAACTTAAGTATGAGAATGATCACTGTTCTTAGGAGCAAGCTATCCTTGAAATCCGATAAATATATAAGAACTAATCATTCCGGCCTCAACACATCAGAACAAAATGGAACATCGAAAAACTAAGAGATCGTTGGTAGAATGCTCGGTCACTATTTAATAAGAATTATGAGTGCACAACTGTAGAATCAGCTTGTTCACTCCTATTTCCATAGCAAACATACATTCAAAATATGTGTCCGAACTCTTTTCGAGTTATTATTCTTCATTTCTGTACACACAGAACAATATTCTGATATCCGAAATATCAATCTGAACTAAAACAGAAAGGATGAGCGTGAAGACTCTTAAGTATTCTGTTGTCTGCTTCCTTTTTAGTCCCCCAACCAGCATTGATAACTACCGAATTATAGTTTCAACAGATTAACCAAATAATGATGAGTAACCCCTAAGTCCGATAAATAAGAAATTTACTTCATGAGAAACTATAGGAGTCCAAAAAATAAAAAGAACTAACCTGTACCGATCATGCTCCACTTTTCTTCTTTTTGAAATAAATAGTCATCGAGTTATCGCGATCAATCGATATTCTAACCTTATCAGTACACCCACGAGCAGTCTTGCTTAAAAAACGATGAAACCATTAAATATATTTCTGTGAATTGTTTGAAACTTACTGAAAACTATATATACATAGAAGAGGTGGAGCTCAGCTAATAACGATCAGAAACGTCTAAATTTTTTCGAGCTTTCCGAATGGATACAACAGCTTAATTGATATCAAGCAGTCGGAAAATCCTTGGTTAGCATATCGTGGAGGAGCAAAGTGAAATAGGAAAAAGCTTTGATCTTTAGCTCTAAGAATTTTCATAACTTTTGACTGAGAAAATAAAATAAATTAAAGTTTTATTCCAACGAATCAAAAATGCATACATTGGAAAATCAAACTTAACAAAACCTGTACGGAAAACAACGTTAAAAAGTTGATAAACTACAAGCTATTCGCATTGTAAAGAAGATCAAAACAAATTCAAAGCTAGAAAAGCACTGTCTGATTTTCGATACCTAAAAATCAGATTAAAACAGTCTAAACAATGATTTTTACTCTCTGTCAGGTAACATTCGAAAAGGCTGATCGGAACGTTTACAAACAAAGCTTGGAAAAGCAGAAGCAGCAAGAAGGTAAGACATCACTGAACACCAGGCATCAGGTTTATTATTTAAGCAGAAGCAGCTTCTTGTCTCTTTCGGATTCCATAGTTGTAGATGTGTGCAATATTCACCTCAGTAGTAGTGATTTGATCTTTAACATAGTCCAACTCCACGGTCAGCTCGGAAATTTGCTGAAAAGAATAATCCATCGAAATGCATTTATCCTATTTCTTGTAGAAATTTCAATAATTATGCGAACTTACACTGTCCACAGTATTTTTATTTTTCTCAAGAATTTCGCGAGCCTTCTCTAGCTCATACTCAACCATTACGTTAGCTCCTAGCCAAATACCGACCTGCAATAATTTGATGAAACTATAAACAAGAAGGTTGTCGAGTCAAAAGTTGCAACCAGTTCTAAAAATATATTGGCTTGCGGGAAACATTCAACAGTTTCCTGAGATGAAGAAACAATATATTTTGAGGAATCGTAAAAATCAACTCTGCGGTATAATTGAAGTCAAGCAGTTATTGCTACACCTTTGATTCGAAATTCCTTCATTCACCCACCTTTTCGGGATTGGTAACTTTAGCCTTCGAGTATACTTCTTCAGCAAGGAGGAAAGTAGTTTCGAAAGGTTCTCCCTTTTCCTGAAAATTAACTTGTGCGTATTATGAGGATAATCCAAACCTTCTTCTGCTCTAGCACAGAAAGAATGCCCAAACTGTTCTGGAACTCAGGGATTTTTTCATCCAATCTGAAGCACTTGTTTTCATGAAGCAAAAACTGAGCCAAAATACCTATGTTTCTGTTGACGCATAGAGTTCTCAATATATTTATACTTTTTGTACTTCTCATCCATGATTTTAACAGCTTCTTCTACCGACATTTTTTCTTTCGTTAGCCAACTTTCTACATCTTCCTAAAAGTAAGCACATGAGAAACAGTTCCCGAATATTATGTTTTGTTTAATGCTTCTTTTCGAGTTTGTTTCTCCTAATTTAACAAAGCTTTCCCCGTTTACAATCTGAAACAAATCTACCTCCCCACTATACCGTACAAATGTTTTTGAAACTTCGAAAGCTATTCAATGAAAGAATTCTATACAAATTTGTGACTTACCACAACTTCCATCGAAGGAATTCCACGTTTACTGGTGAGATCGGACATTCTGAACGTAAATATTCAATCGGAATAAAGCCAAACTTAAAGATGAAAACGAAAGAAATGAAAAGGATATCACACGAAAATACGCAATGTACGCAATTGCGAAACGTCAAGTATTTTTTAAAATAAAATATAAATTTTGCTCAAAGCTGGGGTGTAAATTCGTTCGTTCACAAGGTCTTTATTAATTTATTTTATTTTTAGATCTCATTCATATTTTGCTTCATTACGAATTAATATCATATGTATGCATATACATCTCTCCATTTATCTTCATATTAATCTATCTATCTATCTATATCTATTCTGCTTTAATCCAGTACTGATGAGAAAGCTTCCTAGAAATATAAATATATATTTACATGATTTTCCAGCCCCACCTTGAAAATATACTTATACGTATAATTTATCCCCGTTGAACCAAAGCAGAACATTTCTTCACAAATGAACCTTTTGTTTTACTTTCTCATTGTACTTCTAATCGATGAGAAGAATAGAGTCGATTTACAAGTTGGATTTGAACCCCCGCCTTCTCTCTTCACGGTATATTTTGAGAAAGCTTTCTAGAAGCAAAGAACGTGAAAAAGAATGAAACTGATCTAGGATGTTTCCTCAAAATACTGGTTGTTATCCAGTTCTATCAGTACTGGATTAGAGCAGAAACCATGCTGATAAAAGTCAATACCAATTTATTTCATTAAAATCAAGTGATAGCCCTAATTCTACTATTTTGGAGAAAACTCGAATGGCTCGAATCATACTGAACACACGTCGAGATTCTATTTAGACAGCTCTGAACTTCGCACTTTCCCTCAATGGAAACTTAGAGAAGAGTGCAGGTTCAGTGACATAGTACAAGCTTAATTATGGAATGACGTTCAGAGCTGTTTCATTCTTCGATTCCTTAAGCATCATTTGTTAGTTTTGATACAGAATCCCTCTGAAGTTTGACGAAAATTTACAATTTACCTACTCTTCATCCGTTTTGATGATATAGCAGCCGTATTCTTTTGTGAAATACTCTCACGGACATTGACAGTTATTCGTTGGTTTCGGACTGGCCTGCAGCAACTATACTTTGCTGCTTAGCTGTCCGTCTGTCCGTCATTCAGTCTTCTGAAGGTCGTCTGGTCCCTATTGACTGCTCATTCGCTTTATCTCTCAACCCGCTTTCATCAAGTCTGAACCATCAAAGCCTCCTCGATCACCAGCAGGAGCAATACTAGAAGTAACAGCAGTTCGTCTATTCAAGAATCGTAACACGATTACAGCGCATCGATTGCTTCATTTGGTCGAAGAATGGATAAAGAATGGGAAGATGAAAAAGAGGAAGATTGTACATTTTCAACCGGTGCCTCATGGGAGTACTCTTCATCCTATCTTCTATCGAATGTGAAGAGTTTTGTAACCAGGTATCAACGAAATGTTGTATTATCCTGAGCACTGTGTGAATATTCAATGCTCATCGTTGGAAAGAATTCTTTTTTCATTAATGTATACTACAGTTAAATGGAAACAGCAGGCTACCACCCCACACTTCTCGATCATTCCCAATTGGTCCGTTTTCCAATTCACCACAGCATTTAATCATTGGCGAAGCCTTCGTCATTATTTTCCTTCAGTTTTCTACAAAGATCCGAACTGGCTCCATAGTGAAACGACCTCTGGGCCAACAGCAGTCAATCTTCAAAATTTTACAAGAGATGTTAAAAATGTGAAAATCTAATGAATCAAAAGTACTCTTACAGTAAAACTGGAGAAGAGTAATTGAGAGAGATGACAAACCAATTTGATTTCTAATCTACTTAATCAATCAGGAATTTGAGTTTATCTGAATAGTATTCTCTGAACGTTTTAAGTACACTGATTCCCCCCTTGCCCACTTCAATCATGGTCTCTTCCGTTTCTCAACATTAGGATTCCAAAACCTTGATTCATCAATTTAATCGTAGCGTCAAAGAAATACACTGAAACCAATTGATATTATTCCACAATCTTCTTACATTTCTTTAAAGAATACAGTGAACGAATAAAACCGGATCCCTCACAGCGATGGCTTACTCGTCTATCTTTGAAATTACCAAAATTGCTCCCAAACACGACAATTTTACGACGAAATAGCATTACATAATCAAATATTGTAAAATTAATTTGGCGTAGCTTAGCGTCAACACAGCTAATGCGCAAGCGGAGTTGACTGAAAACTTTTATTTCGAGCCAATGTTTGAGAGAACAATTATGTTAAATGTGTGAATATTTTGTTATTATTTTGCCTGCACTGAAAGAAAATAATGACTGAAAAGGTAATTGTCTCACTCGCAATGGCATATGGAATCCATAATTTTCTTATTTATTTGACATCATTTCTAAATTATTCAAATAATAACAGCAGCAACAATAATCACAACGCTTTCATCGTACACCAATTAAGCATTGGTTTTAGGTTTTCCATTGTTCATTAAAAAAAGGAGATAATTATGGCTCTTAACCCTTTTTAGATCCACCGAAAATGGCAGACCTGTCGTCGAGCATTTCCACAAAGAAAATTTTACGAAGTACTTTCGGCGTTTTTCTGTTGACATCGACTTCACAGGGAGTATTCAAAGTTAAACGATCCAATCATTTCTCCGTTTTTAGAAAGAAATTCAACCGGTTTTCCGTCGATAAGCAGCCCATTGAACGCTTTAAAGAGTAGCGCTCTCATTAAACCATACAGCCGCAATTACATTGGTGTATGGGTGTGGGTGTTTTAAGTCTCAAGTTCACTCAGAGTGCGAAGCTTTTGTCTGACGTAAAAACTATAAAAGCGACTAATAATTCGAATTAATCACTCTACCAGAACAATACAGTTCAAGATACATTAGATGTTTGTGGAAGATTTGCAGCCATATCCGTACAGGACGAACAGGAAAAACTGCCGTGATGGGCAAATTTGGCCAAAATTGCTCTCCACATGAACTACAATTACGACTTCAATATTGCTGGCTGGCGGTCATGACAAATCGGCCACTTCATCAACATATTTACAGAAAAGAAAAATCCAAAAAATGTGTCCCAACCAGCTTGTACCTTTCTCTTATTAGCGCTCTCCTAATGCCATAACGGTAATCTTTGAGAGGCTTTTCGGATTCAAGTTTCTATAACAGTAGTACGGTTGTTGCCACAAATAAATGATTTGATTCCTTTATTTGTTCTCGTCCATAATTGACTTCCATTTTTCCACCATTATCTAGAAAAATAATCCTAGAGAACAAGAGCATACACAAATAAGCGACCATGTCTATTGATTCAGGTCCATACCTTGGAATGACTTACTTCATACCATTTAAAAACACTTCGTTTGTTGTACGTCCCTTAAGACATAATTTCAAATTCATTCACAAAACTTTCAACAATTTAATTGTTACAGCTGAATCTGAATTGTATTTGGCTATCGATTCCCGGCGGAGTCCTAGACTCGTTCGTCATACAATCGCATCTTAGTTTTCACTTCTTTTTACTCTTGGGACCTTCTCTACAGGGTGGTTGAGGGTGGGAATAAGAAAGGGCATATTGTGAATAGTGAATTTGGCTGCCTCAAGTTCTAAAGTCCTATTACTATGAATCAAGATCAGGCTTAGAGAATATTCCATGCGCAAGAGCTTGGCTAACCTCTATAAAGCGTTGGGTATCGATAAGAATAGGGCCATTGAATGCGTATAGGATAGATAGGGAAGTAGATTAAGCCCGTAGACAACAACAGATACCCATAAATAATGGCAAAGAGCCTAATTTGGCTTTAATTCCATCCGGATTATTACTATTTTACCAATTTCTATTCATTTCAGCGGGCAGCAATTTTCTATAATGTGTACCTGTGCGCGTACACATCTGGCTTTGTGTGGATTCTAGTACAGAAAACCCATCAAGAGAGCAAAGAGAGGAAATGGTATGAAAAATACTGGACATCTCTATTGCTTAGCCAATCTGTTGAAGCAATTTAATCAAATGTGAAGCAGAGAGCTTTACTTATCTTTGATCACGGCAGTTTCTTATTAAAGCCGTGAGAAATAAATGCAATAGATACACTTTTTGTCAAAATGCGAAGCCTAAAGTTTCCTCTGAACTCTCTTGGTAATTCAAGCCCACTCATAAAAAATTCAGAAAATAAAACAAAACCCCCCCAGATCGGTCCCTGTTTGCCAAAGAATTAGTACTCTGGCTCAAGTTTGTGATGAGAAAACTTGGCTCGACCCTTCATATGTAGGTAAATTAGTGAGTAAGGGGAAAAACTAAGAGACAAGCCAGTCCTTACACCACACAAGAGGAGAACTATGTGAGCCAAACAATCCACAAAGAGGGTCGACCGAGGTCAAGTAAGCATTTTGTGAGCCCTATAGATGTTGAGAGAGAGAGACAGGAAAACCTCGCAAATACTGTTACTCGACGATCGGCAGTTAAGGCGGGCCAATGCAAACGTCTTTCCGCTTCCTTATCCAGTAAGCAAAGAAATTCAAGCGCAACGGATAGTGATGTTGTATTGTGATGGATTGGCAAAATGCGAGTGCGAGTGCGACAGCCGCAGTCTATTCATACATGCCATAGTTCGACTCATCTGTTGAGAACGTTTCCTTCTTTTCTACAAATAGAAAAAAGGTGATTGTTCGAAAAGAGAGTGATGGAACTAAGAATAATACAAGCGGAAGAAAGGAAGAAAAGGTTGTGTGGTACAGCCCACACTCTCAACGGAGAGAGCGACTACCATCCCATCCTTTCCAATAATAAATAAACGTTCGAATGTGATCTTTTTATCAACGACATTGGGATACAAGAGGTTTTAGAGATGTTTGTCTCTCAAGTTACCATCCAATGTTTTGTACTATTCACAATCGACAAATCGATCAATCATCAAACACATAATTGCTGGATATGGCTCATATTCCCTTTTTCAAAATTCGTGTAATACAAGTGAATTCAATTCAAAAATTCGTATGCATTTATATCAAACCTCTCATACATTAATTCTCGTACTCTTATATGCGAGCCTGCTCTATTAAATTACAATCAATCAGAATGGTTGGATATATATCGTTACTACCGAGAAGCCATACATGGAATAAAATATGAAGTACAATTAGGCTTTAATACATTCAGGTTCTAATGAATTTCCTGTTCAATAATGCTACCAACAAAAATAACAAAAAAATTAACAGTAAAGCGTATTTATCGTCCATTTGAAAATTATATTCAAGAATGTGGTTTACGCAATATACGCAATGAGACGTCGATATAAATTATTTGTGCGTTAGCTAATTTTATTTTTAATTTGAATTGCGTGATAAAGGATTGCTCTCATGAAATAGTAACAATGCTTGGTTATGGTCACTGACTCTTTATTGTTTGAAAATGTTTGATTGCCTATTTCCATCCCAAAAACAATACAACTTTGACTTCATATGCTTCTTTTCTTTATCTGCCTTTCATATGTGATGACCCTTATTCAGGAGCTATGAACAGAGAAAGTAGAATGAAAGCCACGAATGAGCTCAGACTCTCCTGACCCGCCTTCTGCTTTCTGTATTCTGTAATCAACCAAACGGAAAGCCCTGTATATGGCTGTAATGAATTAACCGGAGTCAGAGTGGCAGTTGGTATTATCTAGTCTTGTCTCCGCTTGCTTCTCGTTTTAACATCCTAATTGCGCGCGCTGTGATTTGGAATTCTCATTTGTCCAATCTATTCACTCTTTTGATGAGTCCGACAGTTCATTTACCCGACACTTCTCTCATTTTCCAATTCTAGCTTAATCAGCCGTATAGAACATTTGAAAGCTTCAATTGCTCGCGAGAACATTGGTATATGAAAGCTTCATTTGAGTTCTTTTCTTGTACTTTAGCTCACTAGAATGGCATCCTCCATTTTATGCCTTCGGCGTTATAGCAGCTCGAGGAATCTGCTTATCTCGAAGGCTATTCAGCATTCAGTTTATTATTAATTCAGATCTTCGCTCTTCACTGCTTACTAATACGCCACTTTCCAAACGTTAGAGCCTTACAAGGAACGCTTTAAGTTGTTGGAGCAGATCTTACACCAATTTTCTCCTCAATCGGGCCCAATTTTGAGTGAATTGCAGTTTGCATTTTTGAAAGAACCTGAATAGCTCGTCAATTTCAATGAATGAAAAATTTGCTATAGTTAAGCATCTTCTATTACCTAAAGTATGCATCGATTGCCTTTTCTGTTTCGGCGTTCCCTTTGTTTAACATTTTCCATATATAGATAGTCAATCAGATTCAGATTGCTCTCCATCATGTGAAACGTCCTTTGGAAAGATGACAGTGATTACGTCAGACTCTGGTAATTACAATTGTGCCTTTTGACCTGTCGAGAAGAGTCATTTGAAAGATATTGAATAACAACAAAATTCATAAAAGGCACACAAAAACTATTTTATGTATGGAGAGAAAGATTGAATTGGTCTCAGCACGTGTTCATATTGAATATGTGAATAGGTAGAACATCATCATTATTTCCTTTTCCAATTCTGTGTTTCCATGACTCATAATTAGCAGCGCATCGTTACAGTCCTAAAGCTAAGTATGGGCGAGCAGTCCTGAATTCCGTCTTCTTTCTTCATTTCTGTCGGTCCCTCGCGCTCGTTCTCTTCTGCATTATGACGATAGAACGAATAGGCCGGGTGGCTGAGAGAACCGAATAAACGAACAGCGAGAAAGTATGCTGTAATTGAGAGACGCAGGTTGTTCAATTGGGCAGCATAGCGTATGAACAAGAGAGAAGCCAAACACGAGTTGAAGAGAAACATTGCATTCCAGACAGAGAACCCAGGGAGCATCAAATCAGACAAGAAGAGTCTGAAGTTTTCTGTTGAAAACAGAGAAGCAGAATATATGAGAACAGCAAGAAGCCTGTAAAACGGGGAGGAGGCAGAAAATAAATATCTTGAAATATTTGAAGGCGAGTGAGACAGGAGGCGTCTGTAAAAGAGTAGAGAGAGAAGCGGAAAGTTATGGAGAGAAAAAGGGCTTCAAGTCCAAAAGCAGCACTTGGTCGTAAGGGGCTCCGGCCGGCGGGAATAATGCATTACGGGTATGCAAATTTGTCCATCTATCTACCAACGTTGACAGATCGATCATTCGAGTATGTGCATTGTGTAGGATAAGAAAAGACTGACAAAAAGCTTAAAGAAAGTCAGCCAATCGAAATATGAGAAAAGAATGAGCCCTTTTACGATAAATAAACAATTTGTCATTGGATTTAGTGGCGCAATCAATGCGTACAAATTACTAAATCTGCCTAAGCTATCTCCGTTTACAATCGCAGATAATGGCGTAAGTGAGAAAAAAGTTTCATGTGCGAATAAGAGAAAGAAGAAGAGCGAGAACGAGAAAAAAACAAAAGAGAGAGAGAGAGAGAGAGCAAAAGAGAGTGAGAAAGATAAACGAACAGTATGTATCGGAAATTTGCTTGTTAACCTCAAAGCTTTTGGTACTAATTCCAGCAAGCTGTTTCTAATATGCTATAGACATCTGACGATAGCTGCTAAAGGTTTAAAGTTTAAAAAGTTTCCTCAGTTTAAAAAGACCACACATGTTGTTGAATCCTAGAAAGATGATTCTTAATCACAAGCTTTTTGTTGAAGTCGAAGGAACTGATGGCAAATGCTTGATTGAATAAATTGATTTCACTCAGATGACGCACCAAATTAGAGCATTATTACTTGATGAGAATGTTCAAGAAGATTGCGAAGGACACTGTCGCTGCCGGCTTTTGTCACAGGAATTGTACGTCATTACAGGAATGATGCACATTAATAATAGCCATCAGAAATTATAATGGCCCCAGCTCTTAGACATCTTATGTCCTTTTACCTTATGTGCCGTTTTATATCTTCTAATTCAGCCACTCAGCCATTCTTATGGGCTTCAATCTTCACCAACCGCCGGTAGTAATGCTTGAAAGTCTCAAAAAGTCGTTCCAAAATTGCTCCATTGTTTCTCAGAGCCTTATAAAGGTCAGCGAATAATCGGGCTTTGATGCACAATTTATGCGTGACCTCTGAGAGTTGAAGAGAGAAAGAAAGAAAGAATAGGGTGAGGAAAGAAGGAGAAGATTGCCCATGGGGCAATTGTTGATGTGAACTGAAAGGTAAATTGTCATTTGTCTCGTCCTTGGTAAACAGGCATTGAAAGATTATGGAAGGAATAAGAGGGACACAAGAACTCAATGGCCATTCGCTCGTATGGGTGTCAATTTATAAACATGCTTCAAACTTCGTAATGGCCGTGGAAATAGTCGCCAATTTTCAAATTGTAGCCCATTGTGCCTGAAGAACCTGAATAGCTTGTCCATTTCTTCAACACTACTTTACACGTACACAATGAGCCGTTCATCATCTTGAATTGAAGATATTAATAGGTAATAGAAAAACCTTGTTAAAAATTGTTCATCATCAAGTACTACCAACAGAACTTTTCCGTCCTTTTCCACCATTCATTGACAAGGGCACTAATTGGCCATTGCATAAGCGCCCTCCTGCTGCTCAACTGCACAGTTTAAAGAGATCATCTTCCATGGCAAAGACTATTTCCTATTTGATGCATACACCACTGAGAACCGGTTGAATTTCTTATGAAAATTGAGAACGAAGGCTCCTCAGAGCTTTAAATAGTCGCATAGCGAACCCCCACAAGGTAGGTAGGTCATTGAGAGTAAAAATAAACGAAAATGAAATCTTTATGAATCTTCCACTATATGTGATTGAGAAAAAACATACAATTAACAAAAAAACAGAAGCCGATCTTGAGACTAGAACCAAATCGGCAGTTTGATCGACTTCCGAAGCTGAGGCCAAAAATAATAATGCTTGATAACAGCAAAAAGTTTTTTGTACAACGGTACATAAAAGAAAGTTTGAATTTCGGGTATAGAAAGCCCGAAAGAGGCACACGAACATGGAGACAATACAGACGATCAATTGGACCGTAAGATTTAGAATAGCGTACATACTTTATGTCTGTTTTTGATAAAGAAAAAAGCAAAATATCAAAGCTAACAAAAATGTAAGACTCGTGCTCTATTACAATATTATATGAATACTTTGAAAGAAATAGAACTCTGAAAAGGGTAGAATGTGAAGAGAAATAGATGAAGAGAAGAGAAAGGGTGAGAGAAATTAGAAAAACATGGAGAACTAGAAAGACGCTAGGGCAAGGCGACTAAAAAAGCGGACCCGGAATAAAACGAGCTCTACTCTGACATGTAATAAAGGATCAGAGTAAACCTCGTTGTGAATTGGTATTTTCAAATTGATAGAGAAAGGGGGAAGGGGAAAGAAGGGATGGGGAGAAGTGGTCAAAATCCTGAGTATCGGTGTAGTTGAAACCATACATATATAAAATATATTTAACGTACAATATCCAGTGAAGAACGGAATAGAATGTTTTTTGGTTGAGAAACGATGACAGGGATGATTAAAGTTATAATCACCGGGAATCATTCAGATATTTCGAATCGGTTGACCAATTTGATATTCTTCTATTAATTATGGTAATGATCAGGTGTTCCCCTGGGGCGATAAACAAAGCCTGATACCTCAAGCTTATCTTCACTGACAACAGTTTGAGCCGAGGAAAGGGGATAATTTGGATAAGGACTATTCGACTAGGACGACCTTCTGCTGGTCGATGTCAACCCGACAAACTGGACATTTCTTATTATAACCAAGCCAACGATCAATACATCCAACATGGAATTGATGTGTGCAGGCTAGATTCCTAATTTCTTCACCCGTTTCGAATTCGCACTGACAAACAGTACATCGTTCTAACTCTTCTTCCGGCACCTATAAATCGTAGTATTAATAATCTTCAAAATGATCATCCAACTTACATCTACATCTCTTATGAACTGAATCTTCTCTGTGTATTTATCAATCTCCTGACTATTTAGGCCCACAGGTTGTGGTTCTGAGTTGGGGGGAGCGAACATATGATGTCTATCCAACATTGGTCTATCCATAATCAATTCAGATGGAACTACGTTCACCAACATGGTGTTGAGCTCGAAGCCAGTCTGAAGTCGCAACAACCGATCTGCACGACCCGCAAGTTCGCGACTTACCGGTGTAACTCCTGTATGACGAGCAGGGAGCAAGAATAACGAGTGCGACCGTGGTATAAGACGACTGAACAATTGATTTTGATGATGAAGTTGTTGCTGAATTTGTTGTTGTTGCTGAGCTTGATGAGCAGCAGCAGCGGCAACCACAAAGGCTGGAGGAGTCGAAGGATTTGGAGGTGGATGCTGGTGATGATGATGGTGTGCAGGTTGCTGATGAGGTTGCACATAAAACTGTTGCATTTGACTGGCCAGCATAGAATCTTGAACATAACGGATCTGCTGCACTTGCTGTTGTTGCTGCAGATTTTGCTGCGCCGAAAGCTGTGAAGCAAATGGAGTTCCTTGAGTTGTTAACAGGAGTGGAGAGCTAAAAAACTAGAGGTAATATGATACAAGATTTTGAAAACTTACGAAGCAGCAATATGAGCATGAGCACTGCTACCAGCAGATAAAGGACAGTGAGAGCAATAACATTGAGTACACGGAGGGCATCGCTGGCCAGGAGCACTTCCTGCGCAAGCATGAGATGAAGGTACAGTTCCAGTAACAAGTTGAGAAGTGGAGGGGGTGTTGTCCTGCTGTTGCTGCACTTCTGCTCTAATGGCCTAAATCATTTTTCAAAACACTGTTTGGAGATTACAATATCACCTGAATTTCTCGAGAACCATCACTAGCTACCCGACGAAGTTTTGCTGGACGTTGAGCAATCGATTCCAATTGTTGGACCCGTGCAGGAATCGGCTGGCCGCGTTTCATTCGCATAGTGACTGATCGAGGAGGGTTGGGAAGAGAAGGCGCATTGCTCTGACGGGCCATCTGTAAAAGGAATAAACTGAGTGATGGAAGAAGAAAAAACGGTTGCTTTGAGCCTCTTCCAGGGTAACTGTCGTTGTTGGAAAAGCGGGAGAGACAGACAACAAGCTTTGTTAGTCTTTATCGATTGTCAATTCTTCCCTTCCCCTTCTCTAACAGTCGATAATCAGTTGCGAAAAAAAACTATTCTCTATTACTCGATCAGATTATTTAATATCATGGCTTATTGTTTCTCACGAATATTTCATGTAAAGAAAGTAGAAATAGGAGATACTTGAATATCAAACTGTGCTTTTGCATCTCTGTGAAGAGACTAGTCTCTCCAGTGTTCTTTCACTCTCTCACTTCTTTCTCTGTCTGCTTTATCCAGGCACATATACTGTGCTATGGGAAGTGCGGCGACAGAGACATGACTTTAGCTAACACACCTTCGTTTTCTCAACATAAAACTTCATTGCCATGTTTAAAAAATAGAAAATAGATTGTAGAACAAACCTCAATGACGTCTCGTCTTTGCTGGTTGACTGCCTGTTGCACAGTTGTGCCGGGATGATGTAAGGAAGTCCTAGCATCAGTGGGATTCTATAAATTTATAGTTGAGTACCATAACAGGGCGATAGAAGAAGCGAGCAAACCTGTGGATTATTAACGACTTGTTGTGAAGCTGCTGATTGAGAATTGAGAGCTGCGTAACTTGAAGAAGCCTGACCATATGCAATTGGAGTGTGATGTACAGAGCAAGGATTATTAGTTGTCGAATACATCATACAAGTCTGACAGAAGAACGGCTGAAACAGGAACTAGGAATAAAAGTTAAGGAGATATTGATTAGTTTTCTTTCGTTTCTGAAGTGTAATCAGCTGAATCATCTTTCTTAGTTATTTCGTCAGCATTCAGATTATGATCAACCATATGGGCAATAGTTGACAAACTGATTGAGCAGAAGACGTTAAAGACAACGACGAAGGCGATTATCCGACATGATAATATCTCCGTTTCTTCTGTCGGCTCTTTAGTTTCTTTTTATTCAAATATGACATTTTCTGCATCACTACACCGAAGAAAATTTTGATTTTGGTATGATCATATACGGATTTAACGCCTTCAAACTGAATTGACCGTTAACTACGGTTACACATAGAAGAGATAAAAGTTGATTCGGAGTTTCAAAATACTCTTCTTTCATTTCAGAACAATCATCATCCCATGAACAGAAAAGGAACAAAGCAGGCAAAAGTGAGATCTTGAAAGAAAAAGTAGGAAAACTCACAGGGGTCAGTACACATGGCGACACTGAGGGATTTGGGATGACCAACGGAGCTGTGGAGTGATACATCATAATATCGACCGGAAGATATGACGGTGCTGGATATCCGCCAGCGACAGGATTATTTCTGGCATTAGAAATCTGCTGTGGCAAAGGAGGCCGTATACTGATGGATGTATGAGGTGAAGCTTGAGAATCCATATGAGACATCCGCAAGTTGGGGAGGGGGGATGGTTTGTAGTACGCGAAAGAACCTTCTCTGACGGTAACAGGAAACGTCAGCAATTTTACCTCGTCAGCTTCTTCGCGGCTGAAGAGCGCGTCACCTAAAGAAAATAGAGTAAGTAAGAGATTCAGTTTAAAAGGAAAATAAGAAAGAAATGCAGAATCAAAGTGAAACAAGACGAGAATGTAATGATTCGGATGGCTGCTTCAAGGTGTCGTTAACCAAAATAGAAAAAAAGACAACTGCACGACACCATGGTGGCCATCAAGTAATGGAAACGAGCACATAGATGGATGGTATTTCAAATGCCATATAAGGACGTAAAGACCACGAAATGTGAAAAAAGAAAAGCAGAAACAGAACGCCCGCGATGACTTTGACGTCTCTGTGGAACCGGCACGAAAAGCAATACAAAAGCCGAAATAGCGAAATTGAAGATGTATATGATATTATATGAGTGATGCAGCAACGATGGGGCCGTTCGTACGATTATTAAACAAAAAATCAATAAACGCTCGAAAAATTGTTGAATCCGGGCTGTTGCCGTGGCGAATGAAATGTGGGTATGTCGTTTTGGTCGTCTAGTCGACGTCAACCACATAACACCAGGCTTCATAAGCTGGTAACTTGAGGGCAAAAAAAAGAAAGAAACGAAAGTTAAGAACTTATGATTCCCGTATTGGGAACGTATTACTGGGTTCAGCATTGTTGAATGAGGAGAGTTAAAATCTGTTATGAGACAAGATAGTGATGAATTTGAGAATCAAAAGCACTTTGAAGACTGATTATCCAAACGCAAGTATCGTAAGAAGATGACGCATGCATCTTAGTGTCCTTCATTGGCCAAATCCGGAATAACGAGGCTCAATTAGACCTCTAGCTGAAGGCTGAGGTCGTTGCTGTTGTAGGGTGAGGATCTCGAATGAACAGAAGGGCCGCACAACATTCAAATGAGTTATAATGAATTCAGAATGCCGACATATGCGGTATGAGAAGAAGAATAAGGCAATAAGAATGAAAAAGACGACCAAGACTACGACCAAGACCAAGCATGCGGTAATTAGGACCCTCATGGGGCAAACACAAGTTGGGGGGAGCCAGCACCATTGGGGTTCTGTGCTCTTGACTCTCATTCGAAGATGGGCTATAGATAACAGCAGATAAGGAATATATGGTCGTCTTTGGAAAAAGAAAAATGAAGGGAAGAGACAGAAAAAGAAAGGAGAGAAATAGTTGAAAGATAGAGATGTAAGAAGAATAGGAAATAAGATGAACCGATGGATTAGATGGGTAAAAGAGAGGTTCAGGTCCAAGATGGAAGCAAAGAGACCAACGAAGAAAGAGATCCTCGATAGAGAGCGAAGAAATGATAGAACGAATAAGCCAATAGAGGATTACCAAGTCTACAAAAAAAATACAAAAATTATTTGTAAAATTTGTAAAATGAAAAGCCACTGCAGAATTACGAGTACTAGTTTCAATTTGGTGTAGTGTAAGCAATAAATTTGGTAAAAGAATATGAAAATGAATATGCTTAGACGAGACAGTTGTATGTCTGTCTGTCTTCCAATGTGTATGTGTGTATCTCGAAGTGGAGAAGAAGGGAGCGGAACGAAATGAACGCTATGACGAGACAATCAATGGGAGGAAAATGGGCAAACATAAGCTGTAAAGGATGATGAGATGGAAAAGGATGAGAAAAAGCAGGTGAACCGGTGGCTTCTTTCTGTTTTTAAGATATATAAGATAATAAAGAATGAAGACAAATGATGTGCAAATCAATAATACAGCTAAATGGCATCAACAGCCGAGAGCATGTACACAGCTGGTAAGAGGACATAGAATGAGCGGATCGAAGATAAGGGCAGACGAAAAAAAGACAAACGAACAGAGAAGCCTGAACGAACGAAGAGAAGACCGCAAAGGACATTAGGTAGGCGGAGCTAATAGCAGTTGGGAGAGTAAGAGAGAGTTGCAGACGACTGTTTGTTTGAAATTAAGTAAGTCTGGCAAGTTGCTTATATTTAAGCCGCTTTACCTATCATAACAGACCTCAAGTTTCCATTTGTCGGAAGAAGGTAAAACCTCTTAATTTCATTCAGTTATAGTTTCACCGCAAGATCTGTCAAAGAAGAAGGGGTACCGATCAAAAATTATACATATATATATGTATACAATTGAAGATCCTCTCCTCAACTGGTCACCAGACTCAACAACCTCTCAATACCGTGATATACAAGTATCTTCTGTTCATCAAAGTAGCAGATAATAGGGATGCAGTATTAGAGAAAGTATTGATCGGAAAGGTTTTGTAATAAAACTTACTGCAAAACAGAAGGAACATTAAGACATTTTCAAGTTTTCTGCATCTAAGCTCACGGACTGTCATGAAGAGGAAAGAATGAGTGAACGAAAAATATAATCGTATTTCTCGAAATAACAGATAAGAACTTCTAGTTACCGTTATTTGTACTTTTCATTAAACTGCCTGATGCATACGAACGAACAGAGGGTACGTTTTCCTCAATACAAGGCTGTTAGTAAGAGATATATTCAGTGAGAGGCCGTCTGTTTGATTGTACACTATCGAACAATAATTCTTTTTTTGCTATTCTTTACAGGACAGAAAAATTTTCCTTTCCTCCTCTCCGTCAAACGAGAGAAAGAACGAATGAAAAGAAGAAAGGTTTTCTTTCTGCCCTGCCACTGTCTGAACAATCAATATGATCTAAACCGATAACAGATTAAAATATGAACGAAAGTACTCATTTTGCGAAGAAAATTAGAAAAAAAGTCTCACTTGATCTCGAATAGCTAGGTTCACAGTTTAATGGTTCTGATATCTCATCAATAGCCTCTTTGGATATTGAACCATTCGAATATATGGATAGCCGCTCTCCAGCTAGTTAGTCTATCATTTAGCCTAACCAACTAAACTAGAAGCAACCCTCTCATATGAATATCTTGTCCCGCACTCATAACACCAACGGATTATGTAGAACTATAAAGCCCTCACATGTATAGTATCTGTAATTCTCAAACAGCCATATACATATAAATATATAGTACTATAGACGAGGGAAATGAATGGATTAGCATTATAGCCTGTTTTATTCATCTTATGACAGCCATCATTCGTTAGCCTCGTTGAAAAATTATAGACGCCGATGTTATGTAGATAGGTATACTTAAATATCATCTAATCTAGTGGTTTAGTGGTCTGTCTAGTCGTACCAGTTAATAACATCCTAGTTACATATTGAACTTATTTGACACAAGTGCAAAAAATATAGAATCCTAAGATATTCAACAAAATTATAATAAAAAATATGTTAAAAGGTATTAGGAAAATACAACCACTCTATAGGTCTGTGAAAGTCGAAGAGAAGTAAACAATGTACGTCAAACTCACGTGATCACTAGATATAAGTAAGTGAGAAAAAACAAGATACGCTGAAATCGCATTCAAGCTCATGAAGAATAATGTAAGAATATTTCGTTTGACTAGATAAGGAAAGAAAAGTGAATGGGTAGCGTATGTTGGAGATGCTGGAATGTATGTGTATGTAACAGACAAGAAATAGTAAGGACGACAGAAAAACGAAATAACAACACAACCATCGCTTCTTACATCAGCAACAGCAGGTCCAATCATACATACATATAAACACACACACACACACATACACCCTCATTTACAGGCCAGCACACCAACAAGTAACAAGGCAGCCAGCAATCACCACAACCCCTTCACTTAGCCGGTCTCTTCCCATTTTTCCTCTCCATTTCATGCTGACACATAGCTGTCATGCTAGATGTTACTGCTTGCTGCTGCAGTGAAAAAGAAGAGGAAAACGACAAAACGGTCGAGTGAGTAGAGAGCCTGTTGCTATTGCTGCTTTAGATGCAGGTTGAGAACGCGTATGGCAGACCCCAGATGACAACGCTCACGCCATCTCATACTTCCAGCCGTTAAAAAAGATCAATCGATAGTAAAGTCGATAGAATCGGAATTGTTTGAAAAGCAAGTAATGCAAGGCAAGCCATAAGCGTATTAAGAGGAGGAGCCATTGAATGCGTAGTAGATAAAATCGATATAAAAATGAGGATAAGCGTCCTCAGATGTGATGAACGATAGCGATAAGAAGAGCTGATGTGAACTAGGTAGAGATAAAATGCTACACAGGAATTAATAACAGTAACAGATCACTAGATATAAAAATAATAAATTGGAGCGATAAAACATAATCGTCAAGGTGAACGGGCAAAAAGCTCGAATAATAACTATATTTGCGAGTATTAAATGTTATACGTGAACTTCGAGTTTCTTACTTGAAGAACCCTTGTAACTCCCACTGACTACATTACGTTACTGCAGCGTGTATCTCATGGTACAGCTTTCCAATATACAACAATCATCTCAAAGACTACATCAGCTAGTTGGTGGACTAGATGAGTGTCTACTGCCGACGATGATGATGATGATGATGATGATGACGATGACGACAACGATGATGATGATGATGACAACGATGTCGTCAACTACGACAATGATGACGATTGTAGTGATTGGAAATGTTGTACATTAGGTGAGGCACAAAATAGGAACGTTAGTTATGAAAAAAATGAAATAACAAGCCGAATATAGAAAGCCAGACATCATACACACATAGATAGTAGTTAGATTAGATGAACAATGCCATCATCATTCAGCAGCCCACATAGCTGGCCTCGGGGTCCGCCCTGTGTCCTCGGCTGTCTAGATGGACTAATATAAGGAAGAGAATGAGTGGGGCGAGAAAAAAAGGAGTCAAAAGAACCACGAAGTAGGTGAGGGAACGATACGACCTGGACAACCCACGGAACAGAAAGTATAGAGGAAGAGAAAAACAGTAGATAACGGGACTCCGAGAATGATGTTTTAATGGTCAATGCCTTCGATATTTTTTTACGAATCTTGTCAGTTGCTTCTATAATCATGAATTACAGAAGGTAGCACAACTGAGAAGATTTTCTATAACAAAAAAAGTCGATAAGACTACAGTTCGAGTAGGGCAGCAGCAATTTAGCAGTTTGCCTTTAAAAACTATCAGAGGAAATAGCAGATGTTGCTGTTGCCAGCAGGATGGAAGACAGCCTGGTTACATTTAGAAGGTCGTTGTCCCTAAGCGAAGCAAGCAGACAATTGTCGAGAGAAGTCACCTGGCGTTGCTAAACTTCTCAAATAAAGGCAGATGCAATTGAAGTTCAAGAAAAAACGGACTAAAAGTAAGTTTAAAGTTTTCTTACAGCTTGTCATTTGTTCTATCAAATACAAAGGAAAGATAAGAAACTAGGCGGAACAACCTTGCCAAGGCTATAATGGATAGAAAAAAATAGTAAAAAAAAGTAGAACAAAATGCTCCATCTTTCATCATTGAAGGAGGCTAGACACATTCGATTCAACTGATCGCGCTTATCGATATCTAATCAGTTAATATGAAAGAAAATGGGGAGAGGAATATGACTTTTACGATCTAGAGAAAGGGCAAGTTCCGACGATAATGTACGCGCCAACTTGAGCGGATTGCGAAGGAGTTGAACGGGATGATTGTGGTTCGTAGTTCGTTAGGCTAGGATAGTATACTGATATGATAATGATATCAATAATCCAAATGGGGAATATGCCCCACAAATGTTCAATTGATATGTTTGCATATATTGAAGGTGATTCACAGAACTTCACATACAGACAAAACGTAATAATCAATGTTGAAGCGAAAATGTGTTTCAATTATGAAGAGAAATCGAAGAATAAGCAACAATTCGAACATTAAACCATCTGGCTAGTGTACAGTTTTCAAAAAAGAGTCTGTTAGGCATGCTATGTATTGAAACAGAAATGAATAAATCTGAGGATCTGTTAGGTCTCATGTGTTTGAATTTTCCCATGATTAACAAAGAAAGCGAAAAATAATTATAAGCAATATGTAATATATGGGAGAGTTATAATTGCGAGCATTACTTGAATACGTCAAAGATGTATTAAAACAAAACTAAGTCCCTAGAAATATGAAAAGCAGTCTCATATAGAAGAATGAACAAGCGAAAAAAAGAAACATACATGCATTGGGGACCTCGCGCACAGCTACATACCGGTCTGACGGACTGTTGCACTTGCACTTTCCGATCGAACTTTCCCAATATACGCAGAGATAGAGAGGAGGCGTGAGAAAACGAAACAACAAACGCCGCAAGAGAGAGCGTGAGAGAAAGGAAAAAGAGAATGAAAGAGTTGAAGGACGAGAGACCCGGACAAAAAGACCAGTCTAGTAACCCTGAGGCAAATATAGAGCAGCTATTTCAAATCAGGACAGCGCACGCATAAATCCCGGAAAACGGGCGACAGGCAGATATTACTGGTAAGCAATGGGAATTCGAATGACTGAGAGAAGATTGAATTCATTATTCAAGAACTTTACTGCAAAAACAATAGCTTTAAACTGCGTCCGGCCGCTAGATCGTAATAGCCTAAAACCATAGACCAAATTATAACCCTACAAGATACAGAAAGTTATGTAGCTATAGCTATATCTACGGCATCAGAACTATTACTCACAGAACCAAGTTTAGTATCATCACATGTTCTCAGAATAAGAAACCAGATAAAAGCAGTTCTAAAGCTACTGTTGCCTGCTGGTGAAATCGCAGTGGATAAGAGAAATTGAACAGCTGAAGATTGAAAAAGATGAGAAAAGTAGTAGTGTAGTGGCAGGAGGCGCACAGGCGTCCCAGTGCTACACATCGACGAGCACAGATTCACTAGACTGCTGTTATTCCACACTACCTACTTTCAGAGCATCATTTCTGCTACTTCAGGTAGGCCATTCAGTATGAGTATCTGCTCACCAGATTTACGATGCTCAAACAATCAGCGTGGCTCTCGGTCTCTTTAAGTCTTATCCAAAACGATTCGTTTGATCACCTTCTTAAGATGCGGAAAGCCCTTATGTGCACTAGGTGCATAGGCATTATGTACTTTATAGCTTATGGAAATAAGATATCTCTGGATAAATACTGTCCAAGTACCTGGTAGGTCCTCTAGTGACCTCATAGGCCTTGACATCAGTCATCGTCGCCGCTGTAACACTCCCTCTAACCTGCACCCCACTCCCCCTGACGCAGTCGCACTGATAGAGGCCAGCCCGAAGCTAGCCATCAGCAACCCACAACGCGCGTTACCATCATCATCAGCCTACAGCAGCGATGATAACAATGATACCATATATATGCATGTAGATGATATATACATACATATA